CATCAATATATGCAGGCAGTGGACATTATATGCATCTTATGTGAGCACTAAGGCTCGAAGCGCTAGGCACGGTCCATATCGGCCTCAAGTACGGACCACGGAGGTCCATCTGAAAGGTTTTGTTTGGCCCAGACTTTTATTTGCTTCTTCGAATAAACTACTAGCTTGTAATGGTGGCGCATAACTAGAAGCAATTGTTTAAGATAAAATGCCTTCTCACCAACCCAATTATCAATGGATTGTTCATATTCCGGGTAGAAAAAGTCTATCTATGCCCAGGAGAAAGAATATAATCAATTGCTTCTGTAGCAGATATTGGTTTAAATTGTATTCTATCTAGGAAGAACAGGGTATACTCTGAATCTGGCAAACGATGAGATATGGGATCATTTCAACAAACCTCCGTGCTAACAACTCATCTCACCCCTCATGTCCATCACATTAAGAGTTTAATTCCTCAGATAACTAGGCTCTTTGATTTTTGCTTCTTGGACACAAGAAGACTCCCTTGGGAAATTGAAGAAATTGTCTGTATTCATGAGTTTGCGATGAAAACACCCCGCACGGCCTTCCCCATTGACTGGAATTGTCTTGAGCCTCCCCTGCGAAAGTATCACCAACAGCCTCAGGAATGGAACCAAGTCCTGACAAATGAAATTAAGATTTATCCTAGATACCCGCACTCATATCACTTGCATCATCTTACAATAGCTCGCGGAACCCTATTTGGGACGGTCTCATGTGGCCTCAGGCTCCTGCATGACATCTTATTCGCGACATACGACAACTCTCACCTCATTCGCACAAATCCAAGAGAAATTGAGACAATGGAAGATTCTTTCGCTTTGGGTGGTGCCTTCAGCTGATTTATACAAGAAAGAAGCTATCCTCAACCAAATCTATATCAAACCTCAATGATTGAAGAGGCCGAGGCGGCAACATTCCAGGGCGACAAAGCAAAAGACCCAGAGGGGATTTATCCACCACTAGGGTGGATACTGACCTAGAATAGATCGTAAATCGCTAGTCTCGACTGTTGGGTAAATCATCCAATGTTTCCTGTGGGATGCCTCACGGCTGAAGTGGCCCTCATTCTCGCCCTGGTACACCCTCCGACAGCACTCCTACTCAGAATACGGACTGATGGGGCGACTACGTGCTAGGCGGGGAGTTTGTAAAACGAGGGAAATTCCGTACTATCGATGTAAGCGTGGCCTTCATATCATTACTATCCTTAGTCGACAAGTGTGCCTCTAGAGCTAGACTAAACGGCTCTGCAGCTGGGTCAACCATATCAAAATACATTGGGAAGACTTTAGGACACTATGGCTAGGAGTTTCTTAGAAATGATACTTGATCTTCTATTCAAAATTTCGCGCTAATTCATACCATTGAATAGAACTTAGGTAGTTTTTACTCTAGGGGATTGAGAAGAAAGAGTGACTTCGGAGGTTATAAACGTTTAAAGTGAAAGTAAGAGAAAGCCTTCACGGCGGGATACACCTACTGGATAACGAACATGCGATTAATTAGATAATTGCCTAGGTTGGGACTAACAATAGCAATGCAGATCACTGGCCAAGCATTTATCATGTGCTTGAAACGTGACTGATCTGAAAATGAAGTTTGGAAGGGCGCAAGCTAAGCGTCCTAGATCCATTTTGCAATCTCAATTTCTTCCCTTCCTATGATCACCTTCTCTGGGGGGGGCTGTGGATGTCGTAGGGACAGGAGATCAAAAGGGATGGTCAGTGGAGCCCCAGAGACACTAACTTGATCACTTGTGTCGCTATCCCGTATCTCCATATGCTGGGATATTTGGGCTTGCCCATTGTCGTAGTCCCATCCGTACTTATCTATGGTGATAAGTGGTCGGGTTCTGTTTGCCTTGATAGCGATGGCGACATTGGCGTTACCCCTATTGGGGTTAACCCGTAGATCGATGTCTCGCTGCAACCTTGTCCTAGTTTGCGAGATAGCTATTTCCACAACCACCGTAGGCCGATTTGTAGTACCAGGAGGGGGGTGTCTGGGAGACAATCAATGCAGTCCAGACCTGGATGATATCTTGGAACGACAAACATGCCAATAAAATAGCCACGACAACGTCACCATCAATTGAAACTGAGGCAGGGGAGAGAGAAGTGAAATAAGTGAGAGAAGTGAGTGATGGAAGGCGGAGGGTGCACCTCATGACAACCATTAGGGGTTGATTTCTTATGTGTAGGTTTGGATTTATGGGAATGGGCTGATTCCACACTCTTTGCGAGTTAGTCTATGTATATATCCTCTCGGAGAGAGCTCCCACTCGGCGTTTGGCTTCGAGTTCTTGCTTCAGCTGAATGAAGCGCCTGCATAGTCATATGCAACTAGTTAGACTGCAACAGGTTAATTGAACTTTGATTGATTGATCATATCTTGGATCGCAACACCGAGGTCCAAAAGCATTGCAAACCATAAATTCAACTGGATTTGTCCTCGTATTCAAATTTCTTAAATCAGTGCAGCGCTCAACGATTTATTCCCCATTCTTCGCGAGGTAGGCTTGACACAACAAGCCCCAACTCCAGCAATGTGGGCCCAATGCCCCGCGGGTCGGCTCGGAATAGCCCGTTCATACGCGACGCAAAAGCAAACACCAGTTCAGCTGGGAAATAAATGTGTCAATGAGTTAGTTCATGAAGGTTCACTCACTACGGAGTACCGGGTTCATGGAGTCAATGGTCGCTTACTTAGTTAGTTGGTCGGTCCTCGTATAGATTCTGCATGAAGCCGATTCGGGGCAGCATCCAGGAAAGTAGACACCTCAAACAGTCCTAGACAAACTACCATAGACCTACTTTTTACGTTATTGAGGTAGGAGGTAGGCATCCTATTGCTGGCAGAATATCGCACAACCGTCCGATCTTTCATCAATATCAGTATCCACTTCACAAGTCTTTAGCCCCGCAAATACGAGACACCCAGAGAAGCAAGGTGCCCAGCTAGATCTTGGCTGAAAATATACGAGATCGATCGTCCGCAAATATTGCTATGTTTGTGCCGTTGAACCTGTCGATCATTTATGCGGGGGTTAACTCTAACTCCAGAAATAGACCCAGGGCCATCCCTGAAGGAGATAACCACCTGCACGATTCCTATATGCCTTCTGGTATTTTCCCAGGTATGATATCTTAACAGAGTCCTTGTATTAGGAGTAGACCTATTCGGTGAGTGACATGGCCTAAATGTCATCTGAGAATAGTACCTTTTGCTTCACATCCTCGTAAATGGGTCTCATACGAGAATACGAGAATCTCTAGATGATCTGTTCCTTAATAGTTCTTATAACTATGTTCACTTTTGATCGACATACTACCTTGCCACCTCCAACATATCAACAGCGGGATAAGTACCAATCACCAGTGTCATCCATAAATTACGTAGTAATAGTCATCGTATTCAACCTTCGAGATTGAAATCATAGCCTTGTCGACGATGTTGATCTCCAGCGATGGTTTCTATTCTGGCCTCACTCGGCACGATACGAGCATTGGCATCTATGAAGTTGAATATTTCATTCTATTAATAGAAGGCTCAATGCGCCTTAGGAAGCTATATAAACAACCTCCTGTCCTCGCCTCTACATTAGAACATACTCTCTAACACAATCAAATCTCATCTCAACCTCAATACTTCAATACCAAACATTCAATCCATATCTACATTGTCAAGTCTCTATTAAACCCACCCAACCATTTAAACCCGACTTCCAACTTCTCAAAATATGAAGTTCACCGCCGCCACTATCGCTGCCATTGCGGCCATCCTCCCCATGACCAACGCCTGGATCTTCACCACCTGCAGCGGGCAGTGGGACGGGGAAGACAACAAGGGCTGCACCAAGTCATCCTGCAAGGGCGGTGACACCATTGACTGGGAGAACAACTTGTGGTCTGATTGTGTTCTTCGTGTCTACAGCGACAGCTCCTGTAGCAACCAGATTGGAATTGCATCTGATGACTGGAATGACCACTCTTTGAGCAAGGCCATGGGTAGCTTCCGTGTTTCGTCTTGTGATAGCTGAGCTATTTATTTTCACTGATGGTTCTGTTTGAGGATAAAGGCTGTGGTGGGATTGTGGGAAATGGGGATAATTGTTTGGCTTGATCTTTAGGGCTTGATGTCAAATAGGATGGGTTGGTCTTGACCTTCACGACTATTTCCTAGCTAGCAATTGAATCTCACCTTTTGAAATGATGAGTGATTCTAGAAATGTGTTACATCTAGCTGGTAGATGCCGATGACGGGTATCATAATTAGACAAGATATCTCGCCGGTGTATTTGAGTACAGCCTAGAATATAGTAGGTAGATGGCTGTCTGTCTTTGGAATGCGAAGTAAGATGGGGGCAACATCCAATCGTAATATGCTGCTACAACAGTTTATTAGGCCGAGGTGGCGTGTCACGGGTGAAGTATCCGACTAGCATCTACCCAGGGATTTACGCATTTTTGAGAAGCTCCTGCTTTTAGAAATACTCGTCGTTGGTTGTGAAGTTATAAGCTCGTCCTTGTGATACATTTTACCCTATACCTCATCATACTATAATATCATCATATTCTGCTTCATGATTCATATACTAACTTGTAGACCTCAACATTGGGTAGTCACCCGTGGACAAGGCTTCTATTCCCAATTTGGCCAATCACAACACGTCGATAAAGTGGGGCCAAACCACTTTATCAACTTTGATTGGCTGGTTTTGGTCAAACTTTCCCGTTCCGTGTCACAGCTTATCTAATCTATTGGCCCAGGCCGAGTCTAATCTTTGAACCTTGGGAGTTAACCTTCGAAGATTGGAAGCTTGCGTTTGTGTGCGCCGCTAAGCTTCTTTCTTTTTCTACTTCTTTTCTAAAGTCTGAAGGGTGCAACCTTCTTGATTATCCTCCGCTTTCTTGCCAGGAGGGATCAGATATTTTGTCTTTAGAATTGAAGGTCTCGGACCTGTTGCCGACGCAATGTCACGTCCAATCACATCACAACACGCTCAAAAGTATCATGTCAACTTTGGCACATCCAGGGAGCGAGAATTTTATAAGTAATTTACCACCTTCGTTCGTAAACACAACGTTGTACTTGTCCATCGGCCTTGCCATCCATAACACTCAACCGAGGGCCCGGTAGGCTAACCGTGCCCCTTGCTTCACCAGGTATTTACCGCCGTACCATCGCAAACCACACACGCTACAACACGTCGGGCCTACTACACTATCAAAAGAACATGTCGCTCGATCCTCAACAGACCCCATTCTTACGGCATTCGCTCAACTGGGCGCCTTACGACTGGATGCGCAACGTTCATTGATCTCGCTCTTCGGTCGGAAGGAGCAACACGTGCTCGCTGAAGCCACTCGAACCCTAAGTCTACGGAATGATGGCAACGAGGATGCGCAAGATGAGCTTTGGGTCGGGAGTTCTACTATGTCATATGACCGCAGCCTGTGTAAATCGGTTATGAATTCTACGCCAAATGTGTCAAACCCCAGGGACAACGTCTTTGTTGTACCCGACCTTGCCAAAGACAACGCATTCAAAGACCATCCAGATGTGACTACATTCCCGAACATTCGGTTCCTTGCCTCGAGCCCTATAATCAGTCCCAAAGGCGTGGTGATAGGGGCTTATACGATCTTGGACGACCAACCTCACGAGCCCCTGGAAGCTGGCTCATTCCAGTTCCTAGTTGATATTGCTGCTACAGTGATGGATTATCTCGGAACCAGTCACTCCAAAATCCAGCATTTCCGCAGTGAGCGCATGATGGTTGGACTTGGGAGTTTTGTGGAAGGAAAAGGTAGCCTGCGCAACTCATGGGTTGTCGACACGGACATTCCTCAAGCTCCATCTGGTGGGATTGACCACGCAGAGGGGCATATCAATCAACAACAGCAAGAGAAGCAAATTTCGCAGAACGTTACTCAGGTGGTGGCTCAGAATGGAACACCAAGGCACCTCCCTTTCCGTCCATACAATCTTCACATCCCTAGGAACAAGGCTCTGCAAGGGAATAGGGAGAGATACCAGTCACCTTCCAACTCAACCACCAGCAAGAGAGATGCCGAGGCTTTATCGAAACTCAAAGAAGCATCTCAAGCGACCATGGCAATTGGAAATGTTCAGTCAAAGCAGCAATCACCGAAGGATGATTATACTGCCAAAGTGAATGAAACATTTGGACGTGCAGCCAATCTCATCCGCGAGAGTATCGAAATTGAGGCAGTTGTCTTTTTCAACGCCAATTTCGGCTCCCAGGAATCTCTAGTGAATAATGCGGAGTCTGACACGGAAGGTAGTTGTTTTGAGAGCTGTTCTTCTGGTGATGAGGCCACTCCTCGAAGCTCCCCCCAACGATCACTCGAAGAGACTTTTGATCCAGAAAAAGCTGCAAGCTCAGGCAAAGCCACACTGAACCCGTGCGAAATACTCGGATTTTCCACTTCGAATGCCTCTAGCGTCAATTATCAGTTGATGGACGATAACAAAATCGCATTATCAGAGTCATTTCTTGGAGGTCTTTTGCACCGATATCCTCGAGGGAAGATTTTCAATTTTGGTGAAGATGGAACGATCTCATCTGATGATACGAGTGACGGCATAATCAAACGATTTTTGCGACGTCCTGGGGGCAAGAGGTACAAAAAGACACGAAATTCGCTTCTGCGCCAGGATGCCCAGAGTTTGCTTCAACTCGCCCCCGAGTCTCGAAGCATAATCTTCTCGCCTTTGTGGGATTCACACAAGGGTAGATGGTACTCGGGGGCCCTGGCATGGACAAAAGCACCCCACCGTGTCTTCACTTCGAATGATGAATTGGCATTCCTCTTGACGTTTGGAACTAGTATCATGGCAGAAGTGCACCGACTTGGCGCTCATTTTGCCGATAGAGCAAAATCAGACTTGCTATCAGGACTCAGTCATGAACTTCGATCCCCTCTGCATGGCATTTTCGGAACAGCAGAGCTCTTGAATGATACTGTTATGGATGCGCTACAACGAGGATTCATTCATACAATTTCTTCTTGTGCATACACACTACTAGGCTCGATCAATCAACTCCTCGAGCATGCTAGTATCAATGATGTCCGACCAAATTCTGTCGCCAAAAGCCCCGTTAGCGGTATTAATAAAGCTCCCGTCGACCGGAAAGTGGCCGCCGCCGCTCGCCTTTCGTCTCAGTCTGGAAAAAGTGATGTCGACACTTGTGTGGAGCTTGATGTTACCTTAGAAGACGCAGTTGAAACAGTCTTTGCTGGTTATTCCTTCTTCAGCAGTTCACGGTCCCCTCTTCGGGGTATCGCCGACGCTTCTCCCTTGGATAGCAAACATTGTGATGCATGGGGTGGAGTCAAGGTGGTTCTGGATATTGACCACAGCCCCAGTTGGAAGTTTTCAACACAGTCTGGAGCTTGGCATGTCATCCTCACGAATATCTTTGGGAACGCCTTGAAATTCACTCAAAATGGTTATATCTACATCTCTATGAAGGCCTCTCCGGCGAAATTTGGAAACGGTGGCGAGGTCACAAGCTCAGCAATCACAGTGACTGTAAAGGACACTGGATCTGGGATTGACCCGGATTTTCTGAAAAATGGACTGTTTACTGCTTTCTCACAAGAAGATAGCATGACAACCGGCAATGGCCTTGGGTTGAGCATCACCCGACGAATACTCTTATCGCTCGGCGGCGATATACAAGTCAACTCCGAGAAGAATGTCGGCACTGAAGTCGTGGCAACCGTGACCCTTAATCATGCGTCTGCTTTCGACAACCTCGACAAGTTGAATAGTCCCTCCCCAATCACGATGGCGCAGAAGCTTGAATGCACGAAGACCATCGGGATATTAGGTCTCGGGACTTCTGAAATTGACACATCTATATACAAATCATTACAGAAGCTGTGTCAAGATTGGTTCTCCATGGAAGTCCTTTTGGTTGGGTCTTCACAAACACAATTCGCACACTGTGACTTATACATATCCTCCCACGAATATATGGATATAGGAATTCAGGAGCTCAGGACTCTTGCGCCCAGTGCAGGTGCTCGATTGCCTTCCCCTGTCATTATAGTATGCCCGTCCCCGAGGACCGCGCACGCGATGTCAGTCAAGGCTCAAGATCATGGAGATGCACATGTGCTCGAGTTCATTAGCCAGCCATGCGGACCCCGCAAGTTGGCAAAAACGTTAGAAACGTGTATTAATCGCCAGCAGCTACTGCTTGATTCGCTCGAGACCGAAGAAAACATACCGGGTGGCTTAGCAAGCTTCCAAGTCAATCTTGGCACCAATGAGCCTAAAATGGACTCGTTCGTTGGTCTGCCATCAAATGGAGAGGTCAGCGACCAACCTACCATCAAAGTGGCAGTAGATACAGACACATGCAGTCACCCATCGATAGAGACACTCGAGTCGGTAAAACTCTCTCAGGGGGATGTTCAAGACCCTCCCCATCCTTCTGAAGAAGTCGCCACCACGAGTCACAATCCACCCATCAAAAAGGAAATTGACCCAGTATCAAATTTTCCAACAACCGTTCTTCTTGTGGATGACAATGATATCAATCTCAGACTTCTCATTGCTTTCATGAAGAAGTTGAACTGTGATTATATTATCGCTCAAAATGGAGAAGAAGCCCTCGAGGCTTTCAAGGCCAATTCCTCTGTTATTGGGATGATCTTTATGGGTAGGTTCTTGAAGAATTAACCCGACCGTGCTTTGACAATCTAATACTCCTGACAGATATTTCCATGCCAATCATGGATGGCCTGGAATCTACAAGGCGAATTCGCGATTTTGAAAAAACACTGGGAACGACATTCCGTGTCACGATTGCTGCCTTGACTGGTGTTGCGCAAGCCGACACTCAACGCGATGCTATTGGGTCTGGTATGGATTTATTCCTCACCAAACCCATACGGCTGAACAGCCTAGTGCCAGTAATCAAAGGCATAATGCCGCCGACCCATGCACTTTGGCAAGAGAAGTAATCAATAATTCAACCGCAAGGAACATGCCAGAAATTTGCGCTCTTGGATATAAGAACAGCATTTATTTACGACCAACCACCCTGCTGAAGCCTTCCAAACTGTTGATATCAACACACAGCCCTCAACAAGCCTTTTCTATATTTGTACATATAACGATATACGCAGTAAAGTACAATTCTCCCATTGATCATAACCAATTCTTCTTCTGTCATCAAAACGAACTCTTCCTGGTGGTCAGTTCTTACTAGATGGTGTGATAGTGCTAATCCAAAGGTTCTCCTGCGATCAGATATATTGGAGATGTTGACTCTTTTGTCCCAAAACGTTGACAAGAGGAAGAGTTACTCTGAGTCTGTATTCCAGATATGTAGGCCGAAGATTCTGCAGGAGATATGCTTTTTCGGGGCTTATTTGAACTTACATTGGTAACAATAAGAAATCTACGAACGATTCCTCGCTGCTTTTGGAATATAACTTAGAAATTGACTATAATGTCTGAACAATCTTTTATGATTTATTCAAGATTTTAGATTGAACATAAATAACCCAAGTGCTGTGAGTATGTCCACGCGTTGATTCTTGGTTTGTAAGGCAAAAACAGCGAAGAAAGTTCAATTCATACATAGTGTCATATGTAGCTCTATTAAGTCCAAACGCCACCTTCCCAAATACCAAGAAACAATAAAGATCCAAAGAAAGAGCCTATATATTAACCTCCCGAACAGACGCAATAGGCAACATCTCATCTTTCTCCTTTGAGGTCCACGTCGCATGCTGACCCCATGAACGGGAGAATCTCTCGAGGGCAGCTGTAAGTGCACCCATCCTCGGTTCTATGTGCTTCGTCCACTGTTGGACAACATAGAGCAAGAACACAAAAAACATGGTCAGAATAATCGCAAGTCGGAATGGACCCGGCGTTGGAATATAAGACTCCGGATCGGGTGTCCCATCTGCTCTTAAAGCCGGCTCAAAGCTAATTGACATGGGCAGATACAGAAGATAAACCAGGACAGATCGCATTAGCGGTCCGTGGACGAGATATAGTGGGAAGCTGATCGACCCCAGCCATAGCAGCAAAGGGTGGGAGAGCATCCGTCGCATGACGGGTGAAAGCATTACCCCAAAGCAGATCATCTGCGCCCCAAGACTGGCATAGTAGCGGCTGACGTTGGCATCTTTTGGGAAGATGATTTCGGCAAGCGATGCAAGCTGCGAAGACCATTCGGTTTGGTCAGCGTATTGATCGGGGTACGAGCAAATGTAAAGGCCTAGGGTGACGAGGCCGTAGGGTAGGAATTTGAAGATCAGGCGTGGCCGCAGCGACGTTAGGTTGTAGAACGATAGTTCCGCTAGTATCATGCCAGCGAAAATATTCGTACCCACAGTACCTGTAATAAATTATCAGCATTGTGTTTGGGGTTGCGATATTACCAAACGTACCATCCAGAGTTAGCCAGCTATAGGTGTATAGGACCATTTGCGCACAGAGGCGGAAAAGTGGCGTGGTATTTACCAAAGCCAGTAGGGTCATGAATACATATAGCGAGCCACGGAAAAGGGGCAGTAATGCCCATTGCGGTTGGTCGTAGGCATTTTCTCCGTACATCCAAGTTCCCGCTATTTGCCGTATCAAATCCACGATGGCAGTGCCCAGAGATGAGCTTGGTTGGGGACTTGTCGCTCTCAGCCAGTATGCATCTACCCTTCTACCCAATTGGAAGCCACCAAGCTGACATATAAGCCAGGCTAAAATTGTCATCAGCGCAGCGGGGAAGACAAGTCTCCACTTTCGCCGGAAGGCGCCTGACGAGAGGGAAGCAAGAGCATCGGCGGTAGCTCCTCGTCGGGCTAGCTGGAGTGGTTTTAGGGCATTCACGAACCCGAGTAGCACCAGGAAGATGGCTACCCAGGCCTGGCCCTGTATGACCAGTCTAAAGAATGGTCGCTGGAATAAAATAGAGTTTCCTGTTTCCGCGAAAGACGGCGGGATCAGATATGTCGCAAAGGAGAGACAGGTATGGCTCGCGACCACAAAAAGAGCGGCAATTCCTCGGAGACCCTATAGAAACGACCACGCCAGTAAGCGACAGTTTCACAGCATGCGGGGGATTGGAAATAATACTCACATCTGCCCAGCTACTGGGACGGATATAAGATGCAGATTGCTTGGTCGCCGGGTCGACAATGGCCATATTGGGCAGACGGGTTCATTGCTGGTGGTACTGGTCAATAGTATAATGCAGTAGCTGCAGCTCCCCTGGCACATATACATATATCCTGTTGGTAAATCATGCCTTATTCCGGGGAGATAGAGAATAAACTCTCGAAACGGAACCGAAAACGTCAATGTGAGATCGAATTAGAATAGTTGACAGTTGATATCCGCTATCCGCAGACGGAAGGGTTCGAGCGGGCTAACCACCCGTGTACATTCCACACGACCATGGGTAGATGAATTGGGTGTTGTAAAAAAAGAGGGCCAAATATTAATTTGAGATATTCAATTGGTCGAGAGTTCAGGGGTCATGGAGTAAAATTGGAAAAAAAAAAAAAAAAAAAAAAAAAAAATGGGCGCTTAAGTCTTTGTTCATAGTCATTCAGATGTTCCTTTTAAATCCCTTTTTTTTTCTCTACATATTATTTCCCCTCATTGGTGTTTTTAGCTAAAAGGATAAAGAATAATTGAAATTGAAATTGAAATATAAAATAGAATGAAAAAGGTGTAGAATGTGGTTGTATATATAACATGAGACTAATAATAGTCTAGAGTTCCTGAAGTCCTGATCGACACGTGAATTTTCGACCTATCGATTTTTATACAACGATCAGAACAATGCGGATGTTATATGTTCTAGATAATAATCAAATAGATATAGAGTATAAACTACATATCCAACGGCCCAAATCCACTTTATATTGTGAATACTATGTACTTTGTAGTTCAACATGCCCCTTTGTCTATATTACGTCACCTGACACTAAACCTGATCAGGACTTTGTTGATTTCGTTTCAACTGCGCCTTTTCTCTCTTTTCTTTTTCCACAGTCCTCTGGCAGGCTGTCTCCCCAAATTTGGTGTCTCACCTTTTGTCTTTCGTTTCACCAAATTCCACATCCGTTCTCTAACCATTTGGCAATCCCCTTTGTTGAAAATCTCCCTTTGTCCGGCCCGAAGATCCTATGATTATCGATTGATAGCTTTCCGTTAGCGATAACAAATGTCCAGCGGGAACGGGGTGCGACATCGTGGCCATGGTCACAGAAAACGTAAACCCTCGATATCCGCCTCCCTCGGCTGATTTCGACCTTCCCGGCCGGCGCAGAGTTCCCCACCCACCACGATTGGAGTCTTTAGTCGAGCCACGAGCGCGAACTGCAAATTCCGGTCCGAGGTCCTCACCTCACTCTCCCCGTTCGACACATCGCCAGAGATCACGTTCGCCTCTACCACAGCCTCATAACCCGCATGAATACCCCTGGCCACCCACTCCACCTCACCATGGTTCCTCGCAGGGTACGCGAGGCGAATGGAATACCCCTAGGCCTACCGGTCGCCCTCAGCTATACGCCACACCACCTGAAACCCAACCCTCGAATTGGGCGCCGCGAGATGAATACGAACGGCCAATGCATCGGAAACCTATGCCTGCGCGAGGGGGGCTCCGTATATCCATGTCAACATCTAGGTTGAATAATAGGCGCCCAAGGACGCAGGAATCTATGGACCGCCGCCCACAGGACTTGAGCCCTCAGGGAGTGCCTCTGTCGCGCTTCCCAACAAATGGGCCCGCCGACGAAAATAATTCCCGACCAAGCGTCAATTCCTCCGACACCTGGCGCTCAAGCATCGAACAAGCAAGCGGAACAGAGCGGAGCAGTGTCCTGACCAAGAGCAGCTCGATCACCGACCTTTCACCCGATACCCCCGACGCGCCTTATGGGATGGACAATGGGATGAGTGTGGAAGACGCGATTTCCATGTATCTTGATGGCTTCAGCGACGTGACTGAAGAACCTGGCTCGCCAAAATCCCACACAGGGAGTAAAGCGCCATCAGTAACGCCTCCACCATCACGCGATTCACATCTGGATGAACGAGAATTTCCGTCGCTGAGCGACGTTCCGCCGATACCCCCGATGCCAGAATTTACCATGCCGCAAGACACAAGGGCAGATCCATTGTTTTTGCCAAACTTGACTTATTCCGAACCCACACCCCTACCCCCTATACTCCCAGAATCCCCGCCAGAGTTCACACCATTGGAACCTACGCTGTCAGAACATTCTGAACTGGACCCTTCCGACTCTGGTATACCAGACTCTCCGCGCAATCTCACTCCTTCCCCATCGCCCCCATCGCCAGTAGCCGAAACGCCTGAAGTGCATCATGTACACCAACGACAGGCTTCGAAAAAAGTGTTTATTCCCGGATTAGTGCCGCCACAACTCCGCTCTGGAAACGGTCCTCGGGATGATTACGGATTTCGCAAAGCTACCCAGTATGTAAGCCTGGATGAATACGAGACCTGGAAAGGGTCCTACTCCAACCATGTGACGCAGCGGAGAGCCAAATGGTGTGAATTGCTCAAGGAACATGGGCTACCCACATCAAATGCCACAAAGTTCCCGCCACAGTCTTCGAAGGTCAAGCGATTTGTTCGCAAAGGAATTCCTCCAGAGTTTCGAGGTGCGGCTTGGTTCTATTATGCCGGCGGGTACGAGCTTTTGAACCGGAACCTTGGCCAATATGATGAACTTGTTGGGGAAGCTATGAGCTCACCAAGCAACGATGACAAGGAGCACATCGAGCGTGATCTCCATCGTACATTCCCCGACAATCTTCATTTCAAACCGGAGGTCACTGAGCAGGTACAAGATTCGGGGAGCAATCCGAATTCTTCTAATGTCACCACGGAGACGCAGATGATTCAGTCCCTACGTCGAGTTCTGTATGCTTATGCGCTGCATAACCCGAAAATTGGATATACCCAGTCTCTGAATTTCATCACGGGAATGCTCCTCCTTTTCCTCCCCGAGGAAAAAGCATTCTGGATGCTGCATATCATCGCTGCAGACTACTTGCCTGGAACCCATGAAATCAGTCTGGAGGGTGCCAACATTGACCTCTGGATTCTCATGGTCTTGCTCAGGGACTCCATGCCAGGCATATATTCCAAGATCGCTGCCATGGGAGGGACCCCGTCCGGACGGGGCAAAATGCCTCCCCTAACAGTGAACTCTCGGCTGCCGGACATAACACTGGGACTGACCAACTGGCTCATGTCAGTTTTCATCGGAAGTTTACCTCTGGAGACCACGCTCCGAGTTTGGGATGTTTTCTTTTATGAAGGCTCCAAGACTTTCTTCCGTGTGTCTTTGGCAATCTTCAAAGCATGCGAAAAGGACATCCTCGGCGTAACAGATCCCATGGAAGCATTCCAGATCGTCCAAACCATCCCTAAAAAGCTGTTGGACGCCAACGCCTTGATGGATGAATGTTTTGTACGTCGGCATCGCGTCGGACAAGGTCGTATCGAAGAACTCCGAGCTCAACGCCGGACGGCTATCCGCGAAGAGAAATTGCGACGATCAGTAGCCTTTGGCAAAGGTCAGCTTCATTCCAAGACGGATGAGTTCACTGGCCGCAGCCGCACACCGATTCCGGGCATCGAGCACCGGGTCGTGGGTTCCTGGCGTCACTTGAAACAACATGCATTTCGATAAGCGAATGATCACCCTGGCGTCCATGTCTGTAATCATATTTGTGAAGGGGATTTAGCGAGGGCAGCTCTTTGCCAGCATTATAGGCGTCTTGGCTTCGAAAGGCGAATGGGGGGGAATCGAGCATTTAAAGCATTTATCTTGTTGCATCTGTACATATAAACCACAAATACATCCAAGTTTTGTGCCAAGCAGGCAACCGACTTGGCATTCTCAACTTTCAAGCTATCCACCTGGGCAGTTTTGGTAGTCTCCCTATAGGGCTGTAATAATCGGACACAGCAAAAGCTCGGCAAACAATGATTCGCCGCTCGAGCCCTTTGTACTCCTTTGAAGGTTTCTTGGGCTTTACGGTCGGTCGTAAATTCCCTGCGTTTCTCCCTTGTCTTTCACCCGGAATTAATTATGCTCTGCATTGAACCCGCCGTACTGCCTCCACCATGTCAACCATTCCTCAATCTGCAATCTCGAAGCCTCGGTTGAACGTGCACTACTTGGCGCCCGGAATTCCCTTTGACACTTCCCGAAACCGTCGATGAGTTGTATCGAGATAAGAGAAACTTGATCTTCAGCCATGGTGTCACTATTGTGAAATTTTTACCTGAAGTAGCCGCCAAGATCAGTGCTCTTGTCAACTTACTCGAGGCCAAAATAATCCTCTATGTTAGGCAAAACACAATGGAGATCTTTACGATACCTATATACTTATGAGTTTTATTGATGGCAACACACTCCATACGGCGTGGGACACGTGCGATGTCGCTACTAAAACCTGTATCAATACAGGTTACAGGATATATCCAAGAGATGCGTGATTTAGCTAGTGATGGCTACATTGGCTCTCTTGGCCAAGGACCTGAATTCTGAAACCGTATCATGCTGAATATTCCATGCATTGTTTCCTGATGGAAAAGTCATTGATTTAGTGGGAATTGTCTCTTTTATATACGGAGGACTAAATATAACTTTAATCCTTGAGAGTTGATAGTGAAAGGGTTGTAGAAGAATTCGAGATGACCAAGAGTGGTATTATGTAAAGTGTAGGGGGAGAGGTTGCGGTTGATAAAATATGGTACCCAATTGTTGAAGATGGGAGTACCCTGAGATGTTATGGAGATGTTCCGAGGCCCCCGCTCTCCAATTTCCGAGGGTCCAATTCCTCGGTGGGTCCAAGTTACATTTTTTGGGTTTTCGTCAATCCATGGGTACCCCTTCTCTGATGCTCAATGAAATCAAAACTTCGTCAAGTTATATACTAAATAAGAGAATAAGAGCTCGGAATTGTTCACTCGAGGAACTAGAATCATTCAAAACTGTGCCCAAGTGCGTCGAATAAAAATCACAAGCTGAATTTCTTTTGAATTTTACTAGTGTTTTTAGTGAATTCTTTAGCGTCTTGGATCGGCGATCTCTAGGGCTGGTTGATCTTTAGGTTCATTGATCGAGATTTCCGCTCGGTTGTTTGGCTCATGTCGTCACCAGTGTCAAATCCGGTGTCCTTGCTTCCCCTTTCTCTTTTTTCTTTTTCTTTTCTTCTTTTGGCTCTTTCCCCTTCCCTGAGCTTCATCCGCAAATATGAGTGGACAAGCTGCCAGCTATTATAACGAGGTGCCTCAGGGCCAGCCTCCTCAGCCAAACTACGGCTATGACCAGCAACATGGGAATTATCAACAGCCAAATAATCCCCCTGCACCATATCCGCAACCAAATTACCCGCAGCCGAATTACCAGCAACCAACCTATCAGCAACCTCCAGTTGAGGCCAAACCTCCGCCGCAGTACCATCAAAATGTCCCAGAGTCAGGTTACAGCTTTGACCAGGCGTTCAAGATCGAGAAGCCCAAATGGAATGATCTGTGGGCAGGTCTCTTGGTGAGTTTGACCGTTGTCGCACCGAGCACCTCCTTCAAGACTGACTTGTTGCACAGTTGATTGCTGTTTTCCTCGGGTATGTCGCCGTGTCTGGACTTACCATCCACAAGTATGCCACCAACAAAGGCTTCAATGGAGGAGGAATCTACGACTCATCCAATGATTTCTCGCTTGACACCAACACCCTCGTCCTATTTGTCTTTGTCCTCGTCGTCGCCCTAGTTTTATCTTTCCTTTACTTCATGGGCGCAAGACACTTCACCAAAACCTTCATCTGGGCGACCGGTATTCTCAACATCGTTTTCGCCCTCGCAACCGGAATCTACTACATCGCGCGTAAGCAATATGGAGGCGGAATCGTATTCCTCCTCTTCGGCGTCTTCGCGATCGTCTGTTTCATCAGCTGGATCCCACGTATCCCATTCACTGCCTTCATGCTGCAGACTGCCATGGATGTCGCCCGCGGCTACGGACACATCTTCCTAGTCAGCGCGATAGGTGGAATCGTCACTGTCGCTTTCGCTGCCTGGTTCTCCGTCACCATGGTCTCGATCTACGTAGCATACGAGCCCGATTCCACTGGTACCAACCCATCCTGTGCAAACGGCGGCTGCAGCAGGGCAAAGGTCATCGGTCTTGTCGTCTATGCCACCTTCGCCATGTACTGGGTCAGTGAGTGGATCAAGAACACAGTGCACACCACCGTCGCGGGTGTCTACGGCTCGTGGTATTTCTTCAGCAAGTCTGCCGGCGGCATGCCCAAGGGCTCGACCCGTGGTGCCTTCCGTCGTGCAACTACATACTCCTTTGGCAGTATTAGCTTCGGTAGTTTGATTATCGCAGTCATCAACATGTTGCGTCAGGCGTGCTCGATCGCACAGCGACACGAGGCTGGTCAGGGTAACCTGATTGGCAGTATTGCTATTTGGGTTTTGGGATGTTTCATCTCGCTGCTCGACTGGCTCGTTACTCTTTTCAACCGCTACGCCTTCTGTCACATTGCCTTGTACGGAAAGGCGTATATTCCTGCTGCCAAGGATACCTGGAAGATGATGCGCGACCGAGGAATTGATGCTCTCGTGCAAGACTGTCTGATGGGTCCGGTTTTGACTATGGGTTCAACTTTTGTCGCCTATGTCTGTGCGCTGTTGGCCTATCTCTATCTGCAGTTCACCAACCCTGCCTACAACAGGGATGGTAACTTCACCGCCGTCATCATGGCTTTCGCTTTCTTGATTGGTCTGCAGGTCTGCCAGGTCTTCATGACTCCCATCGGTAGTGGTGTTGAGACTATCTTCGTCGCTATGGCTTGGGATCCTCAGGTTATGATCAATGACCACCCGGATATCTACTACAAGCTGGTGCAGCTTTACCCTAAGGTTCAGCAGGCAGTCCACGCTTGATCTACTTCCCAAAGTGAGTCTCAAGACAAGGGTCTTGAAGTTCGACTACAGGGGTTCAATCGCTATGTCCAGAGGCAGAACCTGTATTTGCCTTTCCTCCATGTTTATGAATGTTCAGCACAAATTGGTGCACATTAATTAGTAATTGCAGATATTTCACGATCAATAATAACATTGCCAGAAATGTTTCATGTATCATTATCACTCAAGTTCAAAACTATCTAAAATATCGATCTCCAAACAGAAAAAAAGAATCCAACATAAAACACTAAACCCAAAGCCAAGGTAAAACAAGAATCACCCTTCCAATCAATGCCTTCAAACACCTCGCCCTTTAATCAACCTACAAAGCAACCATAACAGCCATAACAGCCGCAACCCCAAGCACCGCAACACCCCCATTCACAGAAGCCCCTACAGTCGCCGCCCCCTGGAAAGGCGAGAAGCGAGTAGGATCAACCCCAGAAGGCCGAGCCGAGGGCGTCGCCCCAGAAGCCTGCGGCCCAAATACCACAGACGACGAAGCCGCACCACCCATCAATCCATGCTCCCGACCGGCCGGTGTCGACGCAGCAGCCGCAACAGAAGCCAAACTGCTGGACGCCGGGACATTGACAGGGATCTGCGAGACGTGCAGTGGTTTCTCGACGGCGGGCGTGCTCTTGCAGCTGCAGTCGGTGCGGGTCTTGGTCACGTAGACAACGCGCGGAGCGGGCTCAGGTGCGTAGGCGCGCTTATCGGCCAGTATCATGGGCTTGCTTGCGTGGCGGGCGGGGGCGGCCTCGCGATCGCTGGGGCAGAGGGTTGACGAGATGGTGCTGAGGTCGAGACCTTCGCAGGCGGGGACGGTTGAGGTTGCTAGGGTTTCGAGGGCGGATTTGTTGGCGCAGAAGCATTCTTGGGAGGTTTTGTCTGTGCAGGTTGTGAAGGTTGATGGGTCGATGGTGTTGAGGGCAGCTTTCTGGGGAGGGTTGTTAGTTTGTTTATTTGGTTTATTTGGTTGGGGTTGGGGTTCTTACGGCGCATTTGAGGTAGTCGTCGGTTGATTGGGCTAGGGTACCGGCGACGAGGAGTGAGGCAGTGATGAAGTAACGCATCTTGGATATTGTATGTATGGTTCTTGGAGAAGAGGTTTTGGAAGTTGGGAAGGTGCGATACTAGGAAGGAAGTCTAGTATATAATAGAACGAAGCTATGGAGAGACGACCGGCTGAGTTGTGAGATATTCAGTCCTTATATGTACAATTAGATCCTCCCGTCAGATTTTTTCACAAGTAAACATTCGCTTTGATATCATATCCCTTCATCCCTTAATGGTGGGGGAATAATGGGGTTTATGACGTCCAGGAATCCTGACGGTGGATGGTGCCCGATATAGATACGTGCTTGGCCTAAGAGATAAGCTTCAGATCGCATTTTTGGACTGACGCCTGCGAGAATCATGTACGTTCAATCCTCTGTTTATTGTACTGGAATGATGGAAGAATGTGCCAGCTGCCACGTCCCTGTGGCGTTCCTGGCATCTCCCTGGGACCCTTATACTCCGGGGAATGTTGGATTGAAGGATCAAGGAATTGCCTCATTTTTCTGTTTCATGGATCTTCGTTGTTTTAAAAGAAGGGAATTTACCGTTCGGTTGAAGGGGAATGGAAATCTTCTGCATGTAAATCGAAATAGACATTGATCTAGGGCTATGGTGATCATTGCATGTGGTCTAAAGTGACAACACGACGAGTACGTCGAGTACGGAAATACGTCGAAGAATTGGGAATCTATCTTGCGGATGTGTTTCAATCTGTACAAAATGAAACATACAAGAAACATGCTTTAAATAATCAACAGGGACTCAAGGACGATACAATTCGAAGAAACAAGGTCCCCGCGATATCTAGCAAGGCATCATAGCTAGAATAGACATTTACATCCGAGCTTCTGGTCTTGGTGGTCGTGCTTCCACTACAGTAATGTGTCGCTAAGAAACAAAGAATTCCGAGTATAACTTAAACATTTCCCGGAAAATATGTTAGTGATAGTGCTGTTGTAGTTCATCTGATCTGACCACTCCATTCCTATTGCTTCTCAATGACCTCCACCCTTCTCTCGACGTGCGAGTTCCTTGAAAATTGCCTTCTTCGCCAAGCAACTGTAACCAGATGAACCATTCTCAATCTTCCGGTAATGATATTTTAGTAAAGGGGTCCTCATATTCCAAGTAAGCTCACAAATATCCCAGGGTATCCCCTCCTCCGATGTAGCATCCAAAGCCAATGAACCAGCCAACTGACTTTGCAAACGTTGTCGTTTCGATGGGAATTCTGGCAGAAGTTCGGGGGTCTTTTCAGTGATAATAAATTGAAGCGTGGGCGCAATTGAGCAGCTGCTGGTGGAAATGGGGTTCCAATATTGGAGATATTGAAACCAGAGGATGCGGGTTGTATCTGAGGCAAGTCTCTGCCAGCGAGCTCCTCGTCCTGATCAGATTTGTAGAAACCGCGGGCAATAGGAACATTTCCTAGCTCCCAAACGGAGGATGTTTGCTCTCGCGGTGTCACTGGTCGGAAGGCCCTGCAAGCAGTCCGTCTACTAGACGGGCTCGAGGGCAGCATGGTGATGAAAGGTGAAAGGTTAAAGCGAGAGAAACACCCCAACGGTTGAGGCCCTCGCAAGAGCGAGTTCGGATTCTGAAATACCTACGTTAGCGAGTGTGAACTAAAGGCTTTTAGGACAACAGAACCACTTGCGCGCGATTTCGAAGGCAGAGACTCCTAATTCAACGCAGTTCAACTGAGAATAGGTAAGAGGACGCAAATGATTAAGTGACAGAGGCTCGATGGAGAACCGTCCGAGTGGTAGACGATCCGTGTGATAGACGACCAAGTAGCAACAACTTGAAGGAACAACATCAAGGAATAACGCCCGAATGGTAGATGCCTAGGGGACCATGTCAGGGAACAACCTCTGAGCAACATCAAAGCGACGGACATCCAAGTAACCACTTCCAAATAGTAGATGCATAAGGGACCATGTTGGAATGGTAGACGTCCGAGTGAAAGACGCTGGGATTCTTAGAGGCAATACCCAAGATCAATAACATGAAGTTTTAAAATACGGCGTGTTGAAAACTACGTTGTGAGAAGGAATCCTCGATAGACTAAACTTTTGGTTAATAGCAGTGTATTAGATCAATTCTATATGAGGGCTTGGATAAGGGCCGCTATATTCGTGAGCATATATGGCTTGTGTGTATTATCCCACGTCGAGAGGCCATTTTATATCGGCTAGCGATGGCGCTAGCTAAAGATGCTATGAATCAGTTAACAACGATATCGAACACGTTTTTCGCGTGTATACAGATGGACATTGTGTGGGATATGGTGCTATGAGCCATCCCTATGTATATACTAAGGTGGTAGGTCGTGCGATAGCCTCGGAAGGATGGCGACATTAGTCATATCCACGAGGTTATGAGTCAAGCGAGGGAATATGAACAAATCCTCCCTCTAACCAAGCTTGCTGCATATTGAACCACACCATTGTATATTTGAGGTACCATCAGCCAGGGAAAGGCTAGTGGAATTTATCCTTCGTCCAGCTTTGGGGAAATGGCAGGAACTACGCCCACCATTAATACACCTGAGTCGCTCAGCCCTCTCCTATGCCGGAGAGATAGTGATCCTCGACCTGTTGTGTTAATGACTTGCGGCATGGCTGGTAAGTAAAGGAAAATTCAAGCGGCAAGGTTTGGCTGAGTTGAGTAGCTGATAAGAATGTTATTAATAGGGTCTGGAAAGTCGTCGCTGTCTAAATGGATACTATCCAATCATCCGTCTTTCAAAAGGCTCTCAATTGACTCTTATATTTATACCAAATACGGGTTGTATGGCGTTGATTACCCAGAAAATATGTACCACAACTATCAAGACGAGGCCCAGAGCGCCCTCCAAACTGAATTACCGCAGTTGCTTCAACAGGGCTCTCAGGATGTAATCCTAGATCTCTCTTGTGCATTTCAAAAGACTAGAGATGAATGGAAGCAGCTGATCGAAGAGTCCGGAGGGCGATGGGTGCTTGCATATCTTGACGTTGACGATGATGAGTTGCGGCGACGGGTCAGAGCAAGGAATCAGTTGGCCGTCAAAGACAGCGATTCGGCTTTTTTTATGACAAATGAGATTATGGAGAGTTATCTTGCCGGCTTTGAGAGACCGGTCGGGGAGGGTGAAATTATTTTACGTTTTGATACTAAGCTTAATGAGGACATTGATGTATAAATCTCAGCGGTGAACTGAGATATGTTGACCGAAGGGCCATTTCTATTACTGGTGTATGTACATGAACGCGCAGATAAAACGTATACGTACGTTTGATTTTTATGTCATCTACTTTATCCCCTCAACGAGTGTTCCCATTCACGATGTTCCTTGTACCCTTCTACAGTTTGACATGCCTGGAAGATCCATATGGCGTCTGTGAACTGTGGGACCTGTCTAAGTTCTAAGAGCCCGTCATGGATATGAAAATATGAAGTGTATAACGATAAGCTGTTGTGGCTATGTCATATATTTCACAACGAGGAAGGAATGAAGAAGGAGGCGGGAGAGAGCTTGTGAGGGAAATATATAAATGCTGATGGGATGCCTACCTACGTTCTTGCTCTTTGTTAGCTGTGCTTGCTTGCTACTAGTCGTCATGTTGTGATTGATATTCTAGCTATAATAACAGGAACAAGGCAAACCCCAGAATTGTGAATTGCGAAACAAAATCTCCATTCAAAGAACGAGGTTTAAACCTGCATTGTCTGATCGTCCTAAAATACTACCATGGATTCCTTTAATCGTTTGGATGTAGAAATTCATGTTGCCACTGGATGTTTATATTCCACTCCCCAACGTTCTTCTCTTCTCATCATCAAAGAGAAACCAAGTAACTCATACCACTCATCATTGCCGCGAAGAACTCTCAAATTGGGTATAACTAAAAATCCAAAAACCTAACCCGATCGCTTCCCAACCATCCAAGATAAAATGAAAACCCAAAAATGACCAACAGACATAGAGAATAAGAAGATTCAAGCCCAGCTCAGAACTTCTCGCTGGTGACACACCGCGTGGAATTGACCAATAACCAAGCCAAGATCTTCACAATAAGTGTTAACCCCTTCACAATCAAATCCAGGCCAAAGAACATCACACGCAAGATAGTGCGAGTAATTCCAGGCAACTTCTCCCCCTCCCGTGACGAATTATTTCCATATCGACCATACTTCTCCAAATCAAACTCCTCAACCACGACCTGCTGGTTTTTATTTTTCTTCGAGCGCTGACTGTTTCCCTGCGGCTTCGAAGATGACCTATTCCAGAACTTGAAAGCACTTTTCTTTCCCGAGGCCTCTTTGGACTTCTTCTGCGCAGATTTAATCTGCGATGCTAGGTTCATGCTCTCTGCTGCATCTTCACGTTCAGCAACCGTCGTCACCAATTTACCCTGGAACACAGGCATTGAATAAGGGCCAGGGTTGTGGGAAGTCGGTGGTCTAGACGACTTCGGTGATCCGAGAACCATGTCTGCAAGGATCGGGTTCGTGGCTTCGTCTGAGACGGCGACTGCCAGCATTGCAGCGATGAGAGAGTCGATAGCGTATAGAGAGGGGATCGTAGCGATCACCGCAGCTGGGGAAATTGAAAAAGTTTTCGTAGCAAAATCCAAGGATGCAAGTGGCTCGTCAAAATCCGTGACGGGGAGTACGGACGTGCGTAGGTTAGCAGCTTGCTGGGCGGCTTCCATTGCCGTAGAAGAGACGGGGCCGGTTACAATGATTGTTGGCGGCTGGCGGGGCGAAGCATCGCCAGACGGCGCGGAGACTGTGATGTGCACCATTCCCGAAGACTGGGATCGCACGGGCGAGAGTGGTATTCCGGCGGTGCCGACAAGAGCGGGCGGGTTGTGTTTCGACAGATAGGGGTGTCGTAGCTCGTATAGTCGTTGGTGGCGGTTCCAGGAGAGTCGACAGGACTCTTGTGCTGCGGCCCGTTTGAGTGCATCGGTTTCTACTTCTGCGGTCTCAGAGGGAGTTAGGTGGTGTTGCTTGCTGATCTCGTCGGCTTGGTCTATTGCTAGCATGGCTGCTAGTCGGGAGAAGAGTAGGGTGACGAGTCCATCGTTCGGATGCTCGCGGCGTATGCGGTCTTCGAGGCTCATAATCATGATTGGGACGTCGTGGTTTGGTCTGGAGGGGTCACATCTGCTTAAAGCGAGTTCGTTTGTTGAATATGTTTGTAATGTGTAGAACGGGTTCTGGGAGTCTCCGTTTCCGAGAGTGAATGTAGCCGGCCCCGTTCTGTGAAATGTTAGTATTATGGAGCATACATGTTTTGGAGCGCGTGGAATCTTACTTTGTCATGCGTAGGTTCAATGTCCCAACAAGATCTCGTGGCCTCTGGCCGTTGGCCGTTTCCCATAGCATCTTCAGCTCCTCCATGGATGAACATGTGATCTCCTCAGACTCCAAAGCCCCAGTTGGGAAGTTGAGGACACTCGCAGGCACAGTCTTTGGCCCGAGAACATGGTCAATCTCGGTATTTGTCGACAGCGTAAGCTTTGGAGGTTTCCGAGAAGACTTGACGGGCCGTGGGGCATCTGGAAGTTGTGCGTGATAGACCTGTTGATTGAAAGGTAGTTTGGGATCGAACTGAGGGAACATCGATCTCATCGGGACCGAGGCAGCAGACGATTGCGATGACTGTGGGGAGACCGTTGACGTCGTAGTGTGATGACTGCTACTGCTGCTGCTTTGACTAGCATGTGAAGGCAGGGCCTGGTGGTTCACTCTCTTGGCTTGACGATTCTGACTGTGCATGGACTGAGGAGATCTCGTGTCATGGGAGGCGCCAGCCCCAGCCGGCGGGGACTTGGATCTTGAAGCATCCCCGGGTGGTGGAGGTGGAATACCCTGGGTGTCTTCGATAATCTGAAGTAGCAAGGATTCAGTCTTGCCAGGATCCTTGATTTCCTCAAGAGGGATTGAAGAGGCCGGCTCAGATATGGCTACTGGTTTTTTCCCGGCTTTGCGAAATGGATTGTTAGATCTCTTTACCTCGGGCGATGGAGGTGGAAATAACTGAAATTGATTCATCTTGTCGCTCATTTTCACAAATGAAGCATGCTATAAACAAAGACAGAGCGCGAAAGCAGGGGCCGTCGACTGAGATATACCCCATTCTCACCGAATATGCGCATAAGCCCGACAGACCAAGCAGAGTACATGGTTTGTCGAGATGTGTGACAACCCTGCTTATACGGTGGGCGCTTAACCGATTGGGGGTGTGATTGGCCCCCATCCTGGGATGAGCACGTCCATCTGCAGTAGCGGCGCTTCAATGCAGCCTGGTGATTGGTGGTAAGACCATGGGGAATCTATATTTATCGTGATTCAGAGATTATATTGGCTGGTTATTTTTGCAGTGAAGAAGTCGGGGAGTTAAGTTGATTTAACCCTGTTGACCCTGTTGACCCGGTAGACCCCGTTGACCCTAGTATGTGCATATTTGGTCTATCGGCTCCGGATGTTCTTAAATAGATAAATTAAATTAAGAGAAAAGAAATGACATAATTTAATGGCTGGCATAATATATTAAACTCTTGAGAAGCGCTTAACTCAGGTTGCTATGTCGTACCATACAGTATTAAATATCGTGTCCATTTCGCCACCCGATTCCACGAAAAAGCCTTCTTCCTTAAGATCCTTTTGAGGGATTTCCCACGTTCGCACTGGGTTAATCTTGAAATGAATGCTAATCGCGTGGAATAATATATGCAATGCTACTGAAAGGTCGTCTTTATTTCTTGTACAACTGGGGCAATTTACATGGTAGAGCCCTCCAACTCCTCCAAGCGGTGCATATCCATATCCTTCTCCAACAAAGGAATCACATAAGGGTCGAAAGTCTTCCAGTAAGGGTTGTTGAGGTGGTACTCCTGGGAGGATTCCTGGACGTAACGCTCCACGATGGTGAAGTCCTGCTTGTCGAAAACGGACTGCATCACGAACCAAGAAAGGGTTTCCTTGTCGTTCGAGTAGACATTGGAGGCTTCGACAAGCTTGGCCTTGAGCTTGGAGATGGACTCTTCGTCCGGCTTGGCGCGGAGGTCTATAACATACTATTGTTAGCGTGGGAAATACTAGCAATGGCAGGGGTATCACATACGAACGACGATTGTGTAAACCATAATGAATGTGTATGCGGGGATGGATAGATAGAGGGGAAGTGAGGGGCAATGGATTTCAGACAGTTAAATATTTAAATAATTAAAATAGGTTTAAACATATTTAGTCAGTCGTCGGTGAGAGAAACGATCATTTCAAGGTGGGTCTGTGTAAATCTCCGAGATTTACCCTTGGTGATCCTGGTTTCGCGATGAGCTTATTTCCATAGGTATAGCTTGTGCAGTCAATCCGTACATCATACGAATGTCTATATATTTTAATGATCTTATTTACATGATAGTGTACAATTACTCGTTCTTCCCCTGGTCTTGACCCAAGGCCTCAGTGTGCACAGTGTAGGTCAGACCCTCTGCCATGGAAATCGCACCTTCCATGTTACCCTTGTTATACAAGAATAACCCTTGGAGAGCAGCTGCACTGGTGTTCATAGACCGATCAGCTTTGTTGCCAATTTCATCTTCAATCAAGCCAAGCTCTTGAAGTCGATCCAAGAAAAGTTTGCGATAAACCCCGTCGGTATCGATATCTTCATAGAATCGATCCCATAAACATCCGACCTGGTAACGAGTCACTTCGCCCAGGCGGACAGTCATATCCACCCGCCCAGGACGGACCAACGCCTCGTCAAGTCGTTCAACGTGGTTGGTAGTAAGGAAGATGATCCGCTCCTCTGCACTGGCAACTCCATCAAGTGCATTGAGCAGTCCCGAGAAAGTCACATTAGCCCCACGATAGCCATCTGCGTCACTTTGTTCGCGTCGGTTCGAGAACGCGGCATCCACATCTTCCAACAGAACCAGCGTTCGGTTGGGAACAATTGTGAGCAAATGATTTAACCGGTCATCAGTAAGGCCACGCTCACTCAGGTTCAGAATGGCAATGTCGTAATCCAACTCGCCCGCTAGTGCCTGGATAAAAGAACTTTTGCCGGTACCCGGAGGACCGTATAAGAGATATCCTCGTCGGTACGGAATTCCACGGTCATGATACCATGATGAGCTTGAAATGAAGTCTTCCACATCTGCCAAAATCCGCTCCTTGACACCCTCGTGGAGAACGACCGACTCCAATGGACGCTTCCGGCGCGGATTTCCAAATGGTTTCCACTCGGTGCCCCAACTGTTATAGATTGTTGTCTTTCCTTCGTGGCCCTTTGCGGCGTACGCATGAGCTTCAGTGAAGAGGTCCTCGAATATATGACGTTGAGAGTAGAGGGTGGTGAGAGTGATTGTCTCCCATGGCTTTCCGGTCTGAATATCGCGGGACTTCGACTCGCGCATACGATTGACAAAGACAAACGCATTCTTGTATCGGAGAACGTGTTTTCCAGGCCCCGGAATCAGCGAAAAGTGTGTGTGAATTGCTCCGTTCGAATGTTCGACTTTCTGCGTTTGGATGGAGAGGTGGCGCATGCCGGGTGTGAGCTTTTGGAGGAATCGGTCCATGTAGGTAGAGGTATTCGCCGCAGCTTTTCCTGCATTGAGTTGTGATTGTTGGTAAAGAGTCATCCAGTGTAGGAACCACGGATAGGAGTCATCTTTGATGCTGATCTCGACGTCCACTAGCATCCGCCGGCGAAGAAGAGCAGCGCCATGTCGAACGCCTTTCTGTGCTAAGGTCAATCCGGCTCCAAGACCTGCAAGGCCAAATCCCTAGTAAGAAAGCAATATTAGCACATCGTTTGGGACCAAAACACTGGTAGGCCTCATACCGCTGTGAACAAGGGATTACTCGTGAGCTGCGAGAAGAGACTTCCGTCGCCTTTTTGCGCCGACTGTAGGGCCTGTGTTCTCTGCTGTAGAATCAGGTCGCCCGCAGACGGCGCAGCACTAGGGACCGCATTTGGCTCCATACCAAATCAACAGCGTTGTGAAGATCGCGAATGTCGAGAAGATCGATAAGCGCAGATATCGGAGTTACGACGGGCCGAGAATTTGAGGTACACAGTACCCACGGTCATGTCACCGGGTAATCTATGGGAAAATCAACGAGGAGAACATCCAGGAGAACATCCAGGAGAACTACAACCTTCGAAGGTTGGAATGTACAATCATGCCTGATCTTCAAGTATTGAATATAAGGGGAGATGTATAGCTTTACACTCCGGTGGCCCCAATATTCACATGGGTAGGTGATGGCCCCCATGTCGGAGATATCGGAATTAAAATAACTTTCTGCATCTCGCATTCCTCTACCCAAAGCGCTTCGTGTTCATTGCCCGACCAAGAAGGCTGTGTTCTTTATAAAGCCTTGGCCTCCCATGCGACTCCTTTTCCGTCCCCCGCTTACTCGGCGGACACACCTGCAGTACCAACGCGTTATTCATCCAGCAGTCCGCAACATGAGCGCCGCACCCACTACTGAAGTGCTATATGCGCTGACTGTGGCCAAATCCCCGGCTAGACCTAGCCCAGAAGATGTTTTGAAGAAAAGTCATCATGCCAAGAGTGGATTCAGAAACCCTTGGGAGTAAGTGAGACTCTGTTACTTTCCGGTTTCTTGATCGTTCGTCGCATAGACTAACCAGCAGTGCCGTCTCGTAGGTCTTTTCGCGATATGGACTCAAAAGATATCATGCAAATGATGATGTAGGTAGCTGTCGGCCATCGAAGGAAATCAGGATCTAATGCGTGCAACTGCAGCCTTCGTCGATTGAATGGCAAAGCGAACAATCCCGATACCACCCCGCCAACAGTCACCGTTCGCAAACCCGAATTTCTTCCCAGCCGCGATACCCCTAAGCTGCGCGCAACTTGGCTTGGACATGCATGCTATTATGTGGAGTTCCCAAGTGGTCTCCGAGTACTGTTTGACCCTGTGTTCGAAGCACGTTGCGGTCCATGCTGTGGGCCATATTCCCTAGGTCCCAAGCGCTATACTGAGCCTGCATGTCAAATCAAGGATATCCCTGCCATCGACGCGGTGGTCATCTCCCACAATCACTACGACCATCTGTCCTACCCAACTGTCTCGGAGATCGCGAAGAGGCACCCCAATTGCCACTTCTTCGCCCCACTAGGCAACAAGTCCTGGTTCCACAGCTCGGGCATCAAAAATGTAACCGAGATGGATTGGTGGGATGAGCGTGATGTTGCGATGTCGCCCAAGGAGGGAAAGCAAGCCCAGGTTGAACCAGTAGGCGAAGCTTCCGCCGCGGCCGAGATCAAGGCGCGCATCAGTTGCCTGCCTTGTCAGCATGTTACTGCCCGCACTCCTTTCGACAAATACAAGACACTATGGGCTTCCTGGGCCATTGAATCTGGTGGTAGCAAGGTGTATTTTGCTGGGTATGATAAGCTCCCCCGACCCACCCACTCTATCAGAATCATGCTTTGCTGACCTCCAACATAGTGATTCCGGCTATAGGGCAGTCGATGAACTACCAGAAGGGGAGGATGATTGGGACCCCAAGTACAATTTCCCCATATGTCCTGCCTTCGAGCAGGTAGGTGAGTTCCGGGGACCATTTGATCTCGGCTTGATCCCCATTGGAGCGTACGCTCCTCGTCATATTTTCAGTCCAGCACATTCTGACCCCCATGATGCTGTTCGTATTTTTAAAGACACCAAGTGCAAAAAGGCATTGGGCATGCACTGGGGTACTTGGGTACTTACTGAGGAGGATGTGCTTGAGCCTCCCAAGAAGCTCAAAGAGGCGTTGAAAAAGCATGATATCGCCGAGAATGGTGTTTTTGATGTGTGTGATATTGGGGAGAGCCGAGTGTTTTGAACAAAACTCCACTTCGTGTACATTAGCCCGTTGCTTGTCCCCGCTCCTTTTTGTATGATTTTGCATTGCCGTTCAAGGTTTACATAACAGCGAAGTGATCCTATATTTCTCGTTCATATGGGTTTGGATGATCACCATTTATATTCTCGTTTGGTGCCGCATATATTACCCCAACAACTTTGCCCCAGGTTTTGGATATCCCGCTCTGCCGCCATATTTACCTAGGTTCCTATGTGATTTTTGTTGTCGATGAACGTTCTTTCCTTGATTGTGCCATGAATTTCGCAGGAGAGCCCCTAACATGATCATGGGGGACTTAGAACCGTTCTTCTCGGCCACCCTAAACGAAAAAGGATTAAATAAGTTGCAATTTTCGACACTTTCCTCTTCGGCAAAGCAAAGGCAAGACACGGAGAGCAAGCCTATCTTTTACACGGTGATCTGGAGCCGATCGTAGTCTCATATGCGATATACAATGATTAGAAGATCAATTCTTCTAAATATATACACGCTTTCACTGTGTCTTCACTGTGCCTTTACCTTACAAATCGTAATATATGACGATATTGTTAATACACTATGTATCCATGGATATTTACGTCCTAAATTCTTAATTCGTTATCCATCCATATATCTTGCTTAAGATTCTTCTTCCTGCCTCTTACATTGCCTTCTAATTGCCCTTTCCGTCAAGCTCGCATCTATTCGCCATCTCCATGATCTTTGAGACACTTCTTTTTCAATATTCCTTCTTCGATCATCTTCGATATTCTCTGTGTTGAGAACCGTTTGACAAACCTGCATTGACACTTTCACAGTATCCATTTCCCCTTTGATACATATCTATATTCTCATCTCGTATCAATGTCACTGCAAATCCAGTGAGAGCCAGAATCATGAAACAGACCGTATCACGATGAATATATACAATGTTGTAGAGTTGCTAAGACGTAGATAAGTTGGAGATGTTTGCCTGGTTTGTCAGGGTGACACGCTAGCCATATGTGGACTAGCCCGAGGGAGCTCCCACTTCGCCTGGAAATTTGATGGAATGCGGGCGAACAGCGTTGAAGTCGGAACTCTTAGATTGTCATCTTCGTGCAATATTTTTTAATATTGACAAGTGATAAAGACCGTTTTATATCTAATTCCCACTCAAACTACAACAAAACACCGCCAATATGCAGGCTCCGGTGGTGGTGATGAGTAGGTTACCCCCCATCGAGTTGATCCCCTTTAAGTGCTAACAAATCATCCAGACACCAATTCCGGCGAGCGCCAGGTTGGCCGGAAAGCACAGATGTCTAACATTACCGCGGCGAAGACGTACATTATCCCCCGATCCTTCGATGTTCTTCCCTGCTCGATGCTAATTCAATAAACACCAGTGTTGCGGATATCATTCGGTCATGTCTCGGACCCAAGGCGATGTTGAAGATGCTGCTTGACCCTATGGGTGGTATTGTTTTGACCAACGATGGCCACGCTATCTTGCGAGAGATCGAAGTGTCGCACCCCGCGGCCAAGAGCATGATCGAGCTCAGCCGTACCCAGGACGAGGAGGTCGGTGATGGTACCACAACAGTCATCATCCTTGGTATGATAAGATTTATCTCGGAAGGTTGGAGGGTAAATGCTGATATTCTGTAGCCGGTGAAATGCTCGCCCAGGCCATCCCCCAGCTCGAACGCAACATCCACCCCGTCGTCATTATCCAGGCTTTCAAGCGTGCCCTCGCCGATGCCCTCCAGATCGTGGAGGATGTCTCGACACCCGTCGACATTCACGATGATAAGGCCATGTACAGCCTTATTCAGTCCTCCATCGGAACCAAGTTCGTGTCCCGTTGGTCAGAGCTCATGTGCAGCCTCGCCTTGCGCGCTGTGCGAACCGTCTCCTTCGATGTCGGCGGTGGAAAGCAGGAAGTCGACATCAAGCGCTACGCCCGTATTGAGAAGGTCCCCGGTGGTCAAATCGAGGACTCTGAGGTTATTGACGGTGTGATGGTCAACAAGGATATCACGCATCCCAAGATGCGTCGCAGAATCGAAAACCCCCGTATTCTTCTCCTGGATTGCCCCCTTGAGTACAAGAAGGGAGAGTCTCAAACCAACATTGAGATCTCCAAGGAGGATGACTGGAACCGTATTCTCCAGATTGAGGAGGAGCAGGTCAAGCACATGTGCGAGGCCGTTCTGGCTTTCAAGCCCGATGTTGTTATCACCGAGAAGGGTGTTTCTGGTAAGCAAGCGGTCTGATTGGGGTGATTGATTGCATGTTCTAACCACCGAGCTTTACTAGATCTTGCACAGCACTTCCTGGTGAAGGCCAACGTCACAGCCCTCCGCCGTGTGCGAAAGACGGATAACAACCGTATCGCCCGTGCAAGCGGTGCTACTATCGTCAACCGTGTCGATGACATCCAGGAGTCTGATATTGGTACCGGGTGCGGACTGTTCGAGATTGAGAAGATTGGTGATGAGTACTTCACATTCATGCGCAAGTGCAAGTCCCCGAAGGCCTGCACAATCCTGCTGCGCGGCCCCTCCAAGGATATCCTTAACGAGATTGAGCGCAACTTGCAGGATGCCATGTCCGTTGCTCGTAACGTTATTTTCCACCCTCGTCTGTCCCCCGGTGGAGGTGCTACTGAGATGGCTGTCTCCGTGAAGCTCAGCCAGCTTGCCCGCTCCGTCGAGGGTGTCCAGCAGTGGCCATACAAGGCTGTTGCCGACGCTATGGAGGTCATTCCCCGTACATTGGCCCAGAACGCTGGCTCCAGCCCCATCCGTGTGCTTACCAGTCTCCGTGCCAAGCACGTTGAGGGCCACAACACCTGGGGTCTGGACGGCGAGTCCGGCAACTTGGTTGATATGAAGGAGTACGGTGTTTGGGAGCCCGAGGCCGTCAAGCTTCAGAGCATCAAGACTGCGGTCGAGGTAAGCATCGTAACGTTTCCCCATACGTACTACATTTCACTGACATATCTCTCTCTAGTCCGCATGTCTCCTTCTCCGTGTCGACGACATCTGCAGCGGAAAGTCCGCTCAACAGATCGCCGGCGGCGGCGGTGGCGGCGAGGAATGATTGATAGACGAAAAAGAAAAATGATTGGACTCGAGGTCCGTACATAATGTTACACGATTTGCCTCATGGCTGTCTTCCTTCTGTATGAATATCCTAGATTCAAAAAAACAAAATCCAGATGATCTGGGTATCTTCGTATCGTACACAGCCAGCCTTTGAACCTGCCTCCGCTAGTCCTCATCGTGGAAAATAACACCAGGAACTTCCTGCTGGGCCACCTGGCCATTCACATCGCCTCCATCCTGATCTGCCATAGTGACCATCGAGCCTGGGGCAGCCGAGCTCTCCACAGGAGCAGCATCCATCTGATCACCACCCTTCTTCCCACGCGCATTCTTCTTCTTCTCCCTCCTCCTCCGGTTCTTCTCTGTCTTCTCGTTATCCTTGCGCTTCTTCTCCTCCCGCTCTTTCTCCCAAGCCTCATTATTCTTCTCGGCATCCACCTCGGACTGCATCATTCGCAGCCGTTCGTACTCTCGCCGCCGACTAGCCTTGTACACGTGGAATTCGCCGGAGCCCGCACCAGCCGAAGAACCCTGCACATTTGTGACAATCTCTGGTGGCGCCGAGAGGGATGCCACGGTACGAGGCTTCAAGGCATCTGGTAGGTGCAAGTCTTTACTCGGGTCTTTGAAGAGTGTCTGGATCTCATTGGCAACCTCGGAATGCGGTGTCACGGCGCGCCGTTTTGTTGGCCGCTTGCTGCGCGGATCTGCGCTTGTGGGGATGGATTCTGGGCCTGGTTCGGACATTTTGTGGGCTTTAGGTCGAGGAGAGGTGATGCGACCGCGTGGAATCGGCGGGGTTTGCGCGAGTGGGTTGAATTGATGTCTTCTCCTTTGGAGTTGTAGTGAAGGAGGTGTCCCTTCTGGCACTAGGAGGTGGCCACTGTGTGTTTTGTGGGGTTTGGATTGTTGCTTGAGTGCACCGAGAAAGGCGAGTAGTAGGTAGTACCAAGCTCAAGATGTAGACTTGGGCAACCTTCAACCGTCGAAATACTCTAACCGCCTTCGGTTAGCGGCATAAGCACATAGCAGATCACCGTTTCCAAAGGTTTTCTTCCAATACTATTTATACTTGGGATGCTTGTTTTGATGCTATTCAGGTTGCTGATGATCCGATATCTTTTCGATACTGTCTTAGTGATATCCAAAGTGGCATCTCGGGAATTATGTAGGCGTGGAATGCCAATTCTTTACACGTCTCCGCTTGGAATACCCATCCTTGGGCCTTTCCCACATAGAATCCGGCTCTTGTGACAGATCCTCATACGATTTATTCCTATGAAATGGGAACACCTATGAAATTGATGCCTAAAGAGCTGGATATCATAGCAGCTCAATCGACTCCCATCAACATCACAGGTTGCGGGGGAGAACCCTTCTTGTCACATCCTTATGTTATCAAAATTTATTATCAAAATTTATTATGCTGTGAGATGTCATGATTTCCTTATTGCCAAGGTTACAATATTCCCCAAACTGATTACTAGCTGCTTTGAGCTATGTATTGGGATATGTCGACGGTACGGATATCTTCAGTCATAAGAAGGTCATAGGAAGCATTGCCATGCCCTAAGTCAAGGTCGCCCCCTAACAATGAATAGTCAACGTACTAGGATGAAACATAATATTTCAAAACAACAGAAAATCAAGTTTACTCCTACTCGCTAGGTATATTTTCAACCATCCTTTGAATACTTCGCGCACTTGGAAGTAACAAACGTCAGACCCTTTTTAGGTCTAGTATGCACAATGCATACCAATCAAATGAATCAATAATAACTTAAAACGCGGCGATTGAAGGGAAAATATTAAAGAAATAACAGAATTTTGGAATAGCTAATTATATGCCGAGATGACTTCTGATTGGCTAGAAAATGCATGTTCAAAAGGGGCGGGACAAAGGGATCATTTCTTTGTTCTTTGTTCTTTGTTCCACATTATTATTTCCCCCAAATGGGAATCTTTATATGTCATTTATCTCACTATTCACTGAGAACAATGATAGAGAGGGCATAAACGAATACTCGGATAAAGGCCAAGTGACCACCTAATAAGACTTTCTTACAGCTGTCCACTTTAAATGATCTCATTGATTTTGTGCTTACAATAACTTCGATTTTTGAACTTTCCTTTTTTCGGACTGTGGTCAGTCTGTGCAAACGGGTTGATTTTCTTTGTTCATATTCCCTTTGTTCCTTTGTTCACTACATAGTCACCAGTGACCCGCATATCTGTGTCCTGCCCAGCTGGTACTACCCTACTTACTTCACTTCATCCATCAACCTCACACTTACAAACTTACACTTCCTTTTTCCCCTACTTGCATAGTGACTACAATCAGTCAAAATGCCATACAGATTTGGTAAGTTGCATCGTCTCGTATTTCTATGTCTTCCTTGCTGGTGTTCGCATGGTCAATGAGCCTCCGTCTGGTTGCACGACTGAAAATGTGATGCCATGCCCTAATTCATGGATATCTCCTTGGAGTATTCTGTCGTTTCTGACCAAAAAAATATATCCACTTCTCCTGAATTGAACAAAGAGCTACAATAGCCTTCATGACATCACGACTAACTTCATGATTAGAGATTGCCGCTCAAGGCCGTGCTGGCTGCAAGGCCCCTGATTGCATCGAAGAGAGGATTAAGATTGCCAAGGGTGAATTACGTGTTGGCACATGGGTGGACAATGCGACCTTCCAGGCCTGGTACTGGCGCCACTGGTGAGTCCAGCCTTGTTAAGACACATGGTGGTCTTAATATTATTCATGGCTTCTAATCCTGAGCAAATGATATCAAGTACTGACCTCTTTTAGGGGTTGCTTTACCCCCAAGCAAATCCTGAACGTTACGAAGGAGCTCACTACGGACTCTGGGGATCTTGATTTCTCTCTCCTTGACGGCTTCGATGAGCTTACCGATGAGCTCCAGGAGAAGGTTCGCAAGGCCATCGAAGTGGGTCACGTCGAAGATGAGGAATGGAATGGCGTAAGTTCACTTTCCTCGATCTGCACACTTGGATCATTTCCTTTCGAAAAGGGGTTTCAGTCTGCGGATCAACTAATACTTCCTAGGAAATTGAATTCAACCGTCCTGGACATGTTGGCATGCGTCCCAAGAGCCGCAAGACCAAGGCCAAGGCCGATGAGGTTCGTGGATTCCACTTTGTATCCATGTCATATGAGATACTAATCTCACTCTCAGTCTGAGGAAGCTGAGCAGTCCTCTCCTGCTCAGAAGCATGGCTTGACTGATTCCGAGAATGCCGAGGAGGAGCCCGCCAAGAAGAAGCAAACTCGTACCAAGAAGGCTACCGATAATCAGGATGATGCTATTGCCGAGGCTGCTATCGTTGACACTGAGCCCAAGGACGCCAAGAAGCGTGGCCGCGGCGCAAAGAAGGCTGCTGAGGACCAAGTTACTGTCACGGAGGCTGATGTCAAGGTTGAGCCTAAGAAGCGTGGCCGTGGCCGCCCCCCCAAAGAAGGTTTCTGAAGACGAGGGTGCCGATGCTGACACTGAGATGACCACCGAGCCCACTGAGCCCAAGAAGCGTGCTCGTGCCAAGAAGGTCACCAATGAAACTGCCTCTGCTGATATCGAGCCCAAGGAGGAACAAACCGAGCCCAAGAAGCGTGGTCCTCGTGCCAAGAAGATTACCACTGAAACTGCCTCTGCTGATATCGAGCCCAAGGAGGAACAAACCGAGCCCAAGAAGCGTGGTCCTCGTGCCAAGAAGATTACCACTGAAACTGCCTCTGCTGATATCGAGCCCAAGGAGGAACAAACCGAGCCCAAGAAGCGTGGTCCTCGTGCCAAGAAGATTACCACTGAAACTGCCTCTGCCGACAACGAGCCCAAGAAGCGTGCTACTCGTGTCAAGAAGGTTACCAAAGATGAAACTGCCTCTGGCAACGTTGAACCCAAGGAGCCCACCAAGCGTGCTGCTCGTAGCAAGAAAGTTGTTACCTCCGTTTCCGACAACGAGTCCGGCGAAGTTGCCCCTGCCAATGAGGATCAGCCAAACAAGAAGGCGCCAATGACTCGTGCAACTCGTGCCAAGAAAGGTGCTCAGGAAATTGTCGCCCCCGCCGACAAGGATGTCTCTGACAATGAGGCCGCCACTATCTTCGTGCCTGCCAAGAAGCGTGCAGTTCGTGGCAAGAAGGATGTGAACAATGTTTCTCCCGTGGAGAAGGATGTCTCCTCCGCCGACAAGACTGGTCCTACCAACGGCGAGACGAAGAAGTCTACCACTCGTGTGAAGACTGCAAATACCGCAAATACCAAGAACGGCTCGAACGCTGCCAACGGAGCCAAGACCAATGGAGCAGATGCTGTAAAGGAAGAACACGCTGAGGAATCTACCGAGAAGCCCAAGCGCACTCGCAGTGCCAAAAACAAGACCAACGACAACAATGCCACTGAGAACAAGCCAAAGGCAACTCGCACCCGGAAGACGGCTGCTGACAAGGTTGCTGAACCCTCCGACGCTACCAAGGAGAAGCCTAAGACCGGAGGTCGCAAGCCGGCTGCCGCGAAGGTCACCGATGAGTCTGCTGACCAGGCTGACAAGGGGCCTACTGAGGCCTCCACTGAGAAATCTGTTGAGGACACCGCTGTGAAGTCTGAGGATGGTCCCAAGAATGCTTCCTCCGAGGTTCCCGATGAGCCTATTGCCGACACTACCGAGACTGCTGAGGGCGCTACTGTGAAGCTCGTTGAGGGCGTTACCGAAAAGGCCACTGAGAACGCTACTGAGCCGACCTCTGGGGACGTTACCAAGCAGCCCCTCGAGTCTCCTCTGAAGCCAGTCAAGGGAGAGGATTACGATGACGACTCCTAAGCTTGCCTGTTGTCCTAGTCTGCCTCATTTCCTGTGCGGAACCTTGCACTCTTGTGAATTACGAAATACCAACTTTTCTCTTTTGTGCTTTATGTTTCAACTGGTCTTTTTCCATCGGGTCTTTTGTTTTCCATTTCGTTCTGTACAACAATCCCGATGGATACCAGAGAGCTACCAGCGATTTGCTTTTTTTTTTTTCTTTTTCTTTTTCTTTAATTCTTCTAATGTTTTCATCTCTTTTTTTTTCCTCCGGGCATGGGATTCGGTTTCCCTTTAGCGATGGCTGGTTTGCATAGGCGCACCGTCATATTTGTATTCATTTTCGGGTCGTTCTCACCATCGATTAGCCTGCGAGTTGACATGACGAATTTAATTATTTCCCAAAATAATTGCCGCTGTACAACTTGTAATAACAAGGAGTTTGTACATCAAGGTGGATGGGGTATGTCTTCGAAGACTAGCACTACTATCATGTCCGACGAATGAAATCTGTTGATTAAGAATATCCACCTTGATAAAGGCTAACCATGAGCCTGCCTGATCTCCTTATGTCCACCTCAGAACGACGAAAGGAAGGGGGGATAAACGATTCCATGGAACTCCTTCTCCTGCGCAAGGTGGAGATAACCGAAACGCCATAATCAGCAAATTCAAATGAAAGTGACGCAAAAAAAGGGAATAATTAAGAACAAAAATGAGCCGTGAGTAAAACGGGTAAAAAGGCAAAAGAAACAAGCAAGCCATTTTATGGGAGACAAAGCTTCCTGTGTAGTTCCCATTCGATAGGAGTACACATCATTAGTTTCCCAGACCGCGACTCTCAAGGAGAGCACGGGTATTGCCATACAACTCCGGGTTATGGACGTGAGCGAGGGTGCGAAGATTGAGAACTTTGTCTTGAAGCTTTGGATGGGATCGCAACAACGACCAGAACTGCTCGCTGGCATTGTATGTGAGCAAATCGGATGCCTCAGCAATGAAGTGAATGAGCCATGACTGGAGGTAGTCGCATTTAGCCTCATCAAACTCTGTCCAGCCAGAGAAGGCAAGATAGGCAACTTCGAGAAGAGGTTTGGATTGGTATAGCTCTGGGTAGCAGTTCCAGGCGACTTGGAGCTTGAATGTAATTCGATAAACCAAATCCATCAGGCCAAAACGGCGGGCTTGAAGGTACACTTTTCCGAGGGTGGTAATGGCATTTTCCAGATCGAGACTATTGCTCACGCCCTGGAGTTTGAAGCTTTGACCAATTCCCATTTGGTCGCCAACCAGGCGGAAGGTGGTGCTGCTGTTGGAATCCAGAGCTGGGAATGGAGTGGGATGAGAGAATCCTGAGCTTTTCAGTGTGATCAGGCGAGGGAGGAATTCGCCATCCGCTAAGTATTCACGAATCTGCAGGCGTTCGGGCTGTCTTTCGAGGGCCACCGCGCCGAGAAACACATCGGTGATCTTGGCGGCCTCGTTTTGATTCAGGAATACGTGGTTCAGAGCTTGGCTGAGGGTCAAATCAAAGATTGAGAACTCTGCAACGGGTTGCTGGGGTGCCACATTTGAAGCAATACCACTAGCACTGTAGATTTAAAATATATTTGTCAGTGGAGGCGGATCGAGACTTTACATCAGAGCTTGACAAACCTAGTATCACTCTCAACCTTAGGCACGGTGCCTTGAGTCATGCTGGTTGGTGGGGTAATGAACACCGATGAGGTTGGGAGAGAAGGAGAAGAAGTGGGAGGCATCAGAGGGGGACACGGGTTGAATTTCCGTGTCATCCCTAAACTAGAACCCTCTCTGTCTGCAAAAGTGGTTTTTTCTGATGGAGATGCAGTGGAGTGGGCACCTTGAAGCAATTTCAATGTCTGCCTGAACTGAACACCCTGTGCAGCACGCGCGTCAGAAAATGATCTGATAGTTGTTTGCTCATTAGATGAGCGAGATGCAATATCAGTACTAGGCTCCATGTTATCTGATGGAACTTCTTTATGTTCATCTTCATCTTCCTCGAGCTCGTCGTCACCATGGCTTTCTCCGCCGGAGACAAGGTCTTCATGGCCACTCGGTAACACGAGACGGAGTTCCTTGCCTCGTTTTCCTTTGGCACCTAGTTCCTGGAGAGACATGTTCTTCCAGAAGTCGAGCCCGGGCTCAGTTCGGATAATGTCTATAAGATCGTCCCAGATCTTAGCGTCTGGCTCCCTCCCGGCGCGTCGAAGAACGTTGACTGTCTTCTCGTTGAGGACAAAGATATCCTGGAGTCCGACCCATTTGCTTCAAACGTGTTAGCGTGCAATTTAGATCGATAAGCAGGTAAATATGCACTGTCAGAAAAACCGACATAGAGATCAACATGAATGAAGAAAAGCGAGTGGGTCCACATATACATCAATAAACATGCAACGTCGGGGGTCTTTTTTGGATGTGAAAAAAGAGGTCAAACTTACTACATATTTCGCCCCGGAAGGTACACGGAATACATCCGGTCTTTCGGGTGTGTCATCCACTCACCTTCAATCGGCTGGGCACCAACAGGGCGGCGAGAGATGTGTCTGGTTGGGCCGAATTGGTCTGGCAAAACTACGCCAATCCAGACGTCGGATTTGTACTGCCGAAGGGAATTCTTGTACCGGATAATGAGGGTTTCACCGGGCTCTAGGGTGCGGGGCTTGTTCAGGTGTCTCAGGTCAGTGGTCAGAAAAGTTCTGGGCCCCATTTTGTTCGCGGTGTTGTGAAATGGGGTATCTGAGACTTCACTGGCCATTTCAGATGAGGGTTGTTAAGCTTGGTCACCGGGAGCTGGGGGATTGTCAGAGTCGGTGCAAAAGGCTTCACGAAGTTGAGAGTTTTTAGAGGCACAAGGAGAAATGAGGTTGCTGCTGATCTGGCTCTTAGTGGCAACCGATTAATTTGAACTAGGATATCGGGGGTATTGGGGTTGGAACCAAGGATATAGTCCTGGGAAGCCGTAAGTCACAAATTCACGCGGTGTGCAACTTTTGGAGACGTTGTTGTAAGTGATAGCATAGTATGGCTAGTAAGATTCAAAGGAAAAGAAACTGAAATTCTCGATGAAGATTGAAAGGTTGACGAGTCTCGCAAATATAGTTCGTCTGATGTGCCATGCCATCACCCGAATCAGCAAGCAATGAGGCCTAGATAACTCACCTTGGGTTGTCTTTGCTGGCACATGTAGAGGCTATACCATCCACTGGGAGAGAAAATGTGCTGTCAAAACCCCCGTCAACGTCGGGAACAATGCCGAATTCCAGGCCCTTGATAATGTGGTGGTTTAAATGACGGGTGAGAGCTTCTTGTCTCTGCAAATAGACGTTTTTCTTGACTGCAATTGAAATCAAATGGTTGATAACGGCGGTTGTGGTGATAAAGCACAAATTCCTCTTCTCTGCGCTTGCCCAGGAAACTAAAGAGATTATATTGCTATGACAATAAGATTTCCAGGTCCTTGGTATTGCCAACTGGGATTCCAACATTTACTCGAGGGACCCGACTATAGTTGTACCAGAGAACAATGTTCAGAGTCAAGGAGGTAACATCTACTCATAGGCTTTAAATTGATATAGGAGAGAATAATCAACTGGCCTACAGTTCCAATATGCTACGGAGAGGCTTTTATCAATATGTATTATGAATAACCTACTTTCTATTCCCGCAATATAGAGCAACCGACGGTACAAAATTATAGATGGCAATGCTTAATGTGATTTGAACCCTGAGATCACAGAGCCTCCAAATGACTCAAGACACGGATCTTTGTATGAACGCTACGTTCCGAGAATAATTGTACAAGATATCTGAATAGCAACTCCTGTAAAGAATAAAAGTATCAAAGTATGCAGTTCTTCATCCACAACAGCAAGTCACTTTCATGAAAAGAACAGGATGTGGTTAATTACCATAAGACGAGTCTGGCGATCCAACTGCTAAAAGCTATCCATTATGCGTGGTAGAAATGGGAAGATGGTCGTGACAGATTCATAGGATAGGAATGTATAATCAACTATAGAGGATGGATACTTTCTGTAGAATTCGCTTCTCAAAAAGAATATGGCAAATTTCATAAGCATCAAGATCGGCCGGGACATCTTTACATCCATGGATCTCTCATTCATTTGTTTTGCTATATTTTAGCCCTATATAAATCACCACTTCTGGTCACTTTCCCACAATTTAATACCGTACTTGCCTTTACTCTTCAATTGAAGGCCCCACTTGTAGAAGGTCCCTGGAAGGTAGCCTTATGAACCAGATTATCTGATATGTACGTCTTACCTAGACCTCTACAAAAGCCCATAAATTGGCCCGAACCCTGGGCCAAAGCTCAACCAGCAGCGGGCTATGGGCCTAACCTTCGAAGTTCAACCCAACCCACAGCCTATTGAGGGGGTTTAACCGGTATCCTATCATCGCTATACAACATCGTATTCTAACCCTTATACTAATTGTATCTAGTTCAAATTCGGAATATATCATATTAATAACTATAGAAGTATAGATTTTAGTTTTAAATAAGATTCGATCGATATAGGTCGAGATATCATTTAAAAAAAAATTAATATTAACATTTTAATATTGGAAATATATTTAGGACCTAGACGAGAGTATTATTACTTTCTAAGTAAACATCTATAATTTATAAATTGTTTAATTAACGCCTTTTTCTATATGTTTAGATATAATGTAGAGAGATAACTAGTAATCGATTCGGAATCGTTCAAAATAATAAAATATACCTTTAGGATAAGGCTTAGAAACGGGGGTAAAACGAAGGGTAATGCTAAAAACCCTAAAGGGGAGTTCAAAGGCCTATAGCCCATCGGTAGGCCCAAGGCCGGTCCCAAAACCCAACCCATTTAAGGGTTGGGCCCGGGTTGGGCTTTGGGCTCTATGGGCTCTGCGGAGGTCTAGTCTTACCTCACTGTGTTTTGTCGTGTACCACATCGGAAATATTATCGTATCTCAGTTATTCTTCGCCAATGAAACCCCAAGTTACCCCTCGGGGTTTACGGCTTTGCCTACCCGTGAGCATTGTCCTGGACATTACCATGCGGGTGTATCTTATCTGGCAAAATACACGGCATAGTGAGAAATGGGACGGGACCCCTGCAGACCGATAGCACTGAATTGCACATTTCAGATCTCATATACGGTGAGGTGAGATGTTGAACTATTAATACACATACTCAAATTGTTACCGGAGCATTCGGTCTCAAGCTCTAGGTTGCCTAGATCTTGAAACAACCGAAAGACTAGGTTATGAGACATAATATCGCTATTTACTTCATAAATATTTCTACAGTGTGCTTGTTTGAGGTGGCCGGATTTTTTTCTTTTCATTTCTGTTTCTCATCACCAAATAGGCGCGTTGCCAGATTAATCGCAAAGGTATAATCACCGTCGTAAAAAGGAGCAGCAGATTAAGTGCAGATCATAAAAAATTGTGTCAAGAAGAGCTGCAATCTCAAGGAGTGTAGAATAGTTGAACGCAAGTCAATATACGCCATGGATCCTATTAAAGGCGAATAAGGTCGGGTTCTTCGAACCAAAATGGCGGCCAACCTCTAGAGAAGTGAAGGTCAAGTTGCCGAAGCAAAAGCATAGGCCAGTGCAAGTTCATTGTCAGTGTGCCATTCTGGTATAAAAATGCATGCCTCGCTTGTTCAATTTCAAAATCCAAGTCGCTCGATCGAGTAGGGAAATGTTACAACCGCTTAGAAGAACCTCGGCGATCGCTTGGTGCTAGTAGACACGAGTGTAAGCACTGAGGGCTCGACATCGAGGAAGACGGTCAGCAGTAAAAGAGTGATACGCAGAGAGCTAAGGGGAGAGGGAAGGAGAAGGAGGAGGAGAAATTGAGTCATACCGCAGCTCCGAGAGATCATCCATGTGGTTACACATTGCCACAAACAGGTCGAAGAACAACTTACCCCCTTCCTCCATCTCCATCTGCAAGGTTCCGCTGCTCTTAAAGGTCTTGCGACTGCGGATGATAAGAGCCAGGTAATGAGCACGCAGTCGGGAATCAGACTCGGGCGTGTTGTCATATGCATATCGAGCGGATCGTAAGATCACGTCGGCCGGAATACCACTCTGAAGGCCTTGCTTTCGGAGAGCAAGGCGCTTCAGTTCTTCCAGGCCATACTTCTCAGCAGCACAGTACACTGCCGTGTCTCGGAGAACGAGATCTTCCACTTTGGAGTGGAACATTGTCGGCTCACTCGACCCACGGCCACCAGTTTGATTGATATCCTGGGCGTTCTCGAGTGACCAAGAGCTTCTTTGCTTTCCACGCAACAAGCGCGGGAAGTAGTCGCCCTTGTACAGAAACTCGAGAACACACGACATAATCTCAGGTTCTCTATCTCAAGTATAAGTTTGTGCTCAATCGAAGTGGATAGGATTGTCTCACTCGTCAGGCAAAGTCAGTTGCTTCGCGCCGTCTTCGAGAAACTGCTCCTTTAGAGCAGAACTAAAGAACGGCGACACAGATAAGATATCTTCATGAGCGGCGAAGAGACGCTGGTCTCGGCCAACTATCATAGTAATGATAGGGCTGGTAAGGGGACTATAGGGATACATTATCAGCACATGAAATGAGTGTTGATATCTATGGAAAGCGCGGGTTCGCATTTTTATATAAAATGAACACACCTTCCCATTGAGGGACTCTCCACTTTCTGCTTTATCTTCTCCTTCGCCAGCTCGTCGTATTTCTTCTTAGCAACCTTGACGGTTTTACCCGCCCGGTCCTTAGATACGAAAGAGCGCTTGAACATAGCGACTCAAAGGAATCCTATTGCCGAGATATGCCCACAGAAGATAGTCAAAACTGACGGAATAAATTTGTATTTATTGGAAAGAATGATACGAGTTGGTCGAAAGAAAGGCGGGTTGACGCTGCTGATCATGCACACGAAGCATGTGAGTCTTGGAAGCTCCCCACAGAAACGTCCCCCTAGTCTTAGTTAAAAGACGAGGAATACGCAGTTCTGGGATGACTTTGCATTCGAGAATCTGAGGTGACTCTCTTAGCGAACAGTTATCGACTCCGGCAGGCGTGGAAGGAAAGAAAAAAAGAAGAAAGGAAATCGGGAAGAGGGGGTTTATAAATGCGCAGGTCAGGTGATATCAAATGTGACTAGAGACCAAGTCACCTGGTAATTGAGGCTCAGGCTCAGGTGAAATTGCGTGTGGCTGGTTCTTTGGGGGATTGAGGGCTGTGCAGGTTGGCGCTAAATTCTCACGTCACACTTGGGACAGATGGGTTCAACCAGAACTAATCAAAAATATATGTAGAATCTTCCCCAAGAGCGTGTTGAAGTATTGGAAAGTTAATGAATACTCCATGTAACCAAAAAGAATTATAAATGTAAAGCAGAATGCGTATACGTACCAGTTAGTTAGCTACTTAGGGTACATATTAGTACATCGTGGGGGAAAACAAACATCGGGACTACTCGTACGAATAACACATACCCTATGCCTAGGTATTTGTAATTTGGAACTTTAGAATAAAATACTAGGATTTTAGTGGTAATGGTCACAGCACAATTGACCAAAGTCTACTCAAACTGATAACCCGACTATCGCTGTTAGATTCTTATTGGGGCATGTTTGGCGATAATTATTTGCCATGTCTTCTCAGCATTCCGCTGTTCTGGTTTCTCCGCAGTTCCCTTTTCCCCACTGTGGGCCACGAAGCACAGAGTAATCCACTCTTCATTTGTCCTCACGCTATATTTTATCTTGCAGGCCATGCGCTCTTGTCAGCAGTGTCGAGAGGCTAAACGCAAATGCATCCCTGGTCTTGGCACTGATTCTGTGCCATCCTGTAATCGTTGTTTGCGCCATCATCTTGCATGTTCCCACTTGCAGACCAAAATAGTGAAGACGAGAACTCTCGAGGCCCGTCAGCCCCGTGCTCGATCACCAACAGAATTGCAGACTCAGTCCTTTAGAGTTGAAAATTTCCTCTCCGACGATGAATCTGTTGCCGTGCTGGTCCACGAGTATCTGTCTAAGATTCACGGTCGGCCCCATAGCATTTTTCATACAGCGACACTGTGGGAGGACATTCGCAACCGGCGAGCCAGCAAGGCATTGATCCTGGCTATCTGCGCAATGGGCGCTCACGTTACAACTCAGCCAACTTTACGATCACTCCAGCCTCTACTCACAGCAGAGTCTAAACGACTACTTAAAATCGATCTTGAAAGGGTGTGCTTAGAAAATATTCAAACCTGCATTCTGGTGGCAAACCTATGTGTGGCACATGCAAACCCATCGTCTGAGTTTCTGTTCTTTCGTAAGTTTGAAATTTCTTTTTTTCTCGTTCGACTTAATGCGCACATGCGCGTGTAGATGTGTACTGTCAGACCCCGAATGCATGAAGACCCATATTGAATGAATCGATAGGAACCGCAATTGCAATGATGCAATTGATGGAGCCACGAACGGGACAGGAGAAAGAGAACGAAGTCTCCCATGAACTTCGAATCCGAATCTGGTGGGCGCTTTTTGCAGCGGACAATTGGTGCTCTTCCAGCTTGGGCTTCCCTCGCCAGATGAAAGACTGGCCTCGACCGGCTCGGTTACCTATGGACGAGCACCTGTTTTCCGACATGGAACCTGATGAGCCATTGAAGGACCCGCACATGGCATTTCAGAGTCCTGGTTTATGGGCACAAATGGCCACGCTCATCGAAGTGTTCAGCCCGATTCAGGAACTCAACTGGCGCGCCGCCAACAGCCATGAACTGCATCCAGATAAAATTGAACAAGACACGAGTCATCTTGCTCAACTTTTGGATAACTGGGAAAGTAGACTTCCACGCGATGTCAAATTGACGGAGTCAAACCTCATAGAGCATAGCAGCCGGGGAACTGGGGGCATCTTTATGGGTCTTCATCTTGGCTTCCACCACTATGCCACCTTACTTTTCTACCAGTATCTTGATACAAGATCCACGATGACAATGCGTGCTCGACAATTTGCAGCGCGATGTAAACACCATGCTCTTAATTATAGCACCTGGCTCGCCCGTGGGAGACAACAGCCCGGATGCGAGGCCGTGTACCCCACCGTCGGCCACATGGCGATCGTCTCCTCTTCCGTTCTTCTACACACCCTTCTGTTTGGCGAAGAAAGTGAACTTCCACAGTCACGGCACTGCCTCGAGGCGAATTTCGAGGCATTGCTCGAGTTGGAAGAGTACTGGCCTATTGTCAAAACCATGGTGAATATTCCCTTTCCTGGTGAAGCCAGATTGCGATTTCTACTTGTTTCTCCTTGTGATTCTCTGGCTGATAACCTCAAGATTAATCGATTGATGGAGTTTCAGAATAATTGCCTGCTCCTCTCTCGTAACCATCACACACATCGTCTTGATCGTTGGATGGTGCGGTTTTTATTTGAGTATGCGTTACCACTCGAAGAGAAAGCCATTGATCCACACACGGCCTTGGAAATGGAGATTATCTCCACGCAAGCACATATGTTCTCCCAAAAAGGTCGATTACCCACATTTGGAACTAGCTAATGCGCTCTACCCATCATCATAACCATAAGAATAACCGGGAGATTCCAGTCCCGGGCAGACCTGATGTCAATATAGTTCATTACTTGCTTGGACTTTGGAATACCAATTTGTGGCAGAAAATAAAAATTGTATGGCAGTATCATACATAATTCTACCTGGATAGGAATGAGGCTAATCATGGGTTAATTGAATAAGTTAATGACAAAGGAAGACGGCTAAACCCGTCTGCATCTATTTGCGGTCAATAAGCCACTATCTCAGTCTTGCGTGTGCAATATGACTGTAAATTATGAGTAATCCGCATCGAACACAGCCGGAAGACATTCACATTGGAACCAACAATCAGCCACGCAGTGCTAATTAGATAACTAAGATCGCAATCTCGTAAGCGTTGCTGAAGCTGACGGAGAAGCTGTCAGCAGATCTGGACAAGGTTGTGGTGCTGATGATACTGCTCTCGCCTCCCAAGGAGGGGAGGTTGTTGACACTCGTGGGATTTGGAGCAGTCAAGGTGATCAGAGTTGCAGTGGTCTTCGAAGAACCCTCGACATTGACCAGCACAGCGTTGGACGATCCGGTCTCCCCGTTATAATTCACCAGTTTGAGGATAGTGGAGGAACTGTTCGCAGTTGCGGACCAATAGACAGGGCCAAATCCCCCATCTGTGGCTGTAACGGGCAAAGTTTCTGTGGCCATATTGTCCGCAAAAAGCTTCTGGACATAGTAGCTGATGGTGTAGAGGACCTCGTTTGCCGTGTGCTTGATAACAGCTACTGTATCTGGCGCTTCATTATAGTTCTTGATCAGAGCACCGTAGGCAGAGCCGACAATGACGTCGGAGTTCCTTTCACAGCCTAAAAGGAAGATGGCCTCCGCACAGGACATACCCAGAGTCTGGGCTCCTACTTGGCCATCGTTGTTAGAGCCGGTGTTGGTCGCTGCGTACTCGTTGACGAAGACTGGGTATTCGCGGCTGGCTTGATCAAATGTATTGAAAAGAGAAACAAAGTAGTTCTCATTGCCATAGATATGTAGGTCCAGCGAGCTGCCATTGGATGTGACTGGATTTGGGTTGATGGTTGAGATGAGATTGATGGATGGATAGACAGCGTGAATAGCGTTGTAGAAGGCCATGTATCGGTACGAATAGTACGAGTTTGTGCCACCGTTGAGGTAGTCTTCATTACCAATCTCAATCCAGTTGATGGTAAAAGCTGAGGGGAATCCCAGGGCAGCCCGTTGAGCTCCGTACGTCGTTGATTCATCTCCCTAATCTCGTTAGCGCTTGTATAGCATACATATTATGCTATATGTGGGGTCAAGCTTACCAGAAGAAACTCCAACTCATTCATGACAGAATCAACGTGTGGCTGTAGGTTGGCCTCGGAAATTTCCTCACCGTCCAGGTACAGTCCAGCCCAGATGCCTAAGATTACCTCAAGCCCCAGATCCTGTGCCATTTGCATCATTTCTAGAAGGCCAAACCCATCGGTATTGATATCACCCCAGGTGCCTGGGCGGCCTGGACGATTCTCAAGAGATCCGATCGTTTCGTTCCATTTCCATTCATAAGGGGAGTTGTTGCCCTCCATATTGTTTCCACCTGGCAGTCGGATATATTTCTGGTTCATGTTGAGCAACGCGTTGCCCAGGTCCTCACGCACGCCGTTTGACCGGTCATCGAGCGTTTGTTTGAACAAGCTCAATATATTAAAATAAACACTTTTCCCGGCCAATTTTGACCCATCAAACGTGAAGTAAAACATGTTGTTGCCATCGGTGCCAGTTTTGCTCGGTTGAAATGTGGGGGAGGTGCTCTGCACCCATCCCGAAGATGAGGTCTGATCGATATTCAAGCTCGTCGATCCGAGGATTTGACCGGTGGTGTTACTTTGAAAGTAGCAATCAACGGTCCCGGAGTAACCCCCTCGCATATACAGACTGGTGATGTAACGCTTCGTCGTATCTACGTCGAAACCCCAGAAGCCTTCATTGTAGAATCCTACAGTGCCAGTGGTTCCCTCCGGCACGTCCATGCGCATCTGGTATGGCAGGCTGGATGAAAGGGCTGGAGAAGATGTGTCGATTGCCAGTGAAACACCCCCCCACAGGTTGCCAGTAGTTCGTGTTCCGTGCCAGACTGGCAGCTCCACCGGACGAGGATCCTTGGAAGGCTCGGTTTCGCAGCATCTCCCCATAGAGACCGCCGTCGCCAGAATGATAAATATCCTATCATGACTCAGTCTCAGTTCCAGATTTAGGCAGAGGAATTCGGAAAAAATCAGCGACTCACCTCGTACAAAAGTCCATATAGGAGGGAGCTAGACTGATTGCCTCCGGACGAAGCAACGTCAAGTGTCAATGCTGCCACGCTAGAAGCGAAATACAAGATGGAAGACAATATCATAATGAATATATCCAAATGCAAGGTCCAGATTGATCAACTCTATTGAGTGTTTGGCTTGGTCTGGTGAGGTCAAGAGCCAAGTCGAAGGGACGGGCCTTTATAAACACAAGAAACCAAGCGCTACCCCAGGATATTCACATGGTACCATAAAATCTAAAGTCCCCTGAGATTGGGGCAGTCGTCAAGCATTAATCCGAGGATGAGACAATTCTCTCAGTGCCCCCCTAGTTAGGTAAAAATTCGGTGTGAGTTTCCCCGAAAGGGCAAGCATGAAATCCACTCCCCTGCAGATGATTAGGCCCAGCATCTGAGGTATGGACAAGTTAGAATCCGGTTCTACTTTATTTTGGAAGAGTCTACTCCCAAAACAGCAAATCACCGAGTGGATTTGTTTAATACGACGTGTGTCTTGCAGGACTTTATACCAGATTGTCTCCGTACAATATCAAAACATTATGATGGGTTTATGACTGGAAAAAGTCAGACTCAAGCAAGTAATTTATCATCTAGTATAATTATCAAAGGGCTCATTATTCCATGCGTTCTATCTAAGGATCTAAGTCACATTCTGTCCGGGGTTCGTTATGAATGGAGTAGTCGCCAGAGGTGGCCACGACGAAGCATAAAATGGTATCTTCCACTGATGCTTTCCAGACCCAACATTCTCCTCCAAGCTGGTGGATCCATCTTCTTTACCCCGTATCTTGACTACAGCTCGACAGTTTGGTGGGACAATCAGATCTAAACAGAATGTTACTGCTTTCCCTGCTTCATTTCGATCCCCATCACCAAGTAGCTTCCACTGGCAGTTCCAGCGGCCGTAGACGCTTTCGTACGACACTACAGCGTGAGTTAAGGAGCCCCCTGGCTGTGGACACACTAGTGCAGTTTTCCAACCAGCTTCCAGTGGTCGGAGCCCGCCAACAGTCTCGTGGAGCCAGTTGACAACAGATCCCAAGGCATAATGATTGAAGGAGGTCATTTCACCGGGGTTGATGAGCCCGTTGGGAAGCATGCTGTCCCAGCGTTCCCAGATGGTGGTAGCACCCATAGTGATCGGATACAACCACGATGGGCAACGGTCTTCGAGCAGCATTCGATAGGCCAGAGAAAGATTATTAGTCTCAGTTAGAGCCCGTAAAATGACGGGCGTACCGGCAAAGCCGGTTGCTACGCGGAACTTTGCCATGCGTACACGTGCGGCGAGCTGATGACTGGCTGTGTCAAGCTGGCGCTGTGTGGACAATATTCCAAAGACAATGGCCAAGGAATAAGCCGTCTGAGAATCGCCAACTATGAGCCCCGACGGTGCTATGTATTTGTCTTTGAAAACGGCCCGAAGATGCTGGCTTTTGCTCCAATAATGTGTACTTTCTGTCTCCCTGGCTAGTACGGAGGCAATTTTAGCCATGAGGGACGTAACATGGACAAGATATGCGTCTGCCACCAGCGTGCCATTTGTTCGGCAGTCACCCGGCTCGTCGACTGGTGCCTGAGGGTCGAGCCAGTCGCCGAGCTGCCATATCTCCGGGTTCCACAATCCGTCTTTGCCTCGACATACTCCCTGGTCCAGCCACGAGGTCATGCTCGGATACTGTCGATTTAAAATATCGCGATCGCCGGATGACTGGTATAATACCCATGGAAGAATGATCACCACGTCATCCCACAGAGCCTGGGGAATGGATGGCCACACATGGTCCAGGGTGTTAGGAACTACCAGAGGAGGAATACCGTTGTGAGTTGATTGTTCACAGGCGACATCTTCCATCCACTCTGAGAGCATCCCAATGGAGTCATACAGGAATGTGGCGGATGGACCAAAGACCTGAATGTCTCCCGTCCATCCCAAGCGTTCGTCCCGCTGGGGGCAATCCGTAGGAATTGACAAGAAGTTCCCACGCATACTCCAGCAGGCATTTTGATGCAATTTATTGACAGCCAAGTTGGAACACTCAAATCGACCCGTCCTCCTTAAATCCGTGTGAATCACTAGCGCCTGGATATTCTTTTGCCAGGACTGCTGCGTTCGAGGATCCCATCCGTCGACTTGCACAAATCGAAATCCATGGAAAGTGAACTTCGGCGACCAATCAATCAACGTCCGCCCAGATGAGATGATCGTGTCAACGCATTGTGCCCCGCGAAGGGGTCGCGTTCCCAATTCTCCATCATCTCCCATGACCTCGGCATGGGTGAAGCTCACCTTCGCGTTCACTGGGAGCGTGATCGAATGTATGAGAAGCTTTCCGACCAAATTTTGGCCAAAGTCCAGGATCGTCCGGCCATTTGGAGTAATGAATATTTTCTCGGGTGATAACATCTCCGTGATTCGTGCTGGAGGAGCGTTTGGGGCATATAATCGCGCACGAGCAAAGTCCAACACGGAGACTGCCTCCCAGTCACTGTCAACATAACGATCACCATGTTGGTTCCAATCTCCGACTCCTGCGCGCGCGTCATATAATTCCCCATTGTAGATTTCACTTGTAACAATGGGGCTTGGGTGGCACCTCCAACTGAGATCTGATGCAAGCTGGAATCGTCCTCCTGCGAGCCCGTCTACTTCCAGCTGAGCCATCACGGCAATTCTATTACCATAGATGTACCGTTTGCCACCACCAAATCCCAGTCGGCCCGCATACCAGCCTTCGGCGACTTCGACGCTCAACACATTATCACCATTTGGAGTGACTAATGATTCGACGTCAAATACTTGATATGCAAGGCGATGGTGATAGCTTGTCCAGCCTGGTGCCATTTCGTGATCCCCTATCCTGTGTCCATTGAGATATGCCCGATAGACCCCGAAAGCCGTGATGTACAACCGCGCTCGTTGCACGGGGCCAAATGATCTTGCCAGTACAAATCCCTTCCGGAAGAGCAAGGGCCTCAATGGTTCATCTTCGTGGATCGATGGAGCCGATAGGCCGGAGATAGGCATTGCAATCCAATCCTGCGAGCTAAGAAGACTGCATTCAACGGTTGTCCAAGATGACCAGGCAGACCAATCCGAGGATATGCTCCTGGTTTTTGTATCCACCCAAGTACCACACACGCGAACTCGCACCCGGACTTGTTCTCGCGACTGCAACGGCGTGCTCGGCCATGGAACCAAAGACGACTCGGCACTTTGAACAATGAAGTGTGCTGATGGTCCAGTTCCACGGCTCAGAGAAATCTCATACTGTGACTGCTCCCAGTTGCAGATGGATTCGCTAATAGGAGAGAAGGTCCAGGAGATTCGAGGTGCAGCGCATTGTACGCCCAGTCCTGAATGATGCTGTTCAAAGCGTATTGCAGTTATTTCGACCATTTCTGATGGCTTGACTCACAATTGCGTTTTCTCTGGAAAGAAAAAAATACAAGCAGAGTTGGAAAGAGACAGTAAGGCTGACAGACTGGAAGACCATTTTCTCAGGTCATTCTGTTTCGTCCCATCCTAATTTTGGCTCGCTTTCTATTATCCCGAGAGATCGTCATGTCTCTTGTACAACAGGAGATATTTTACCATGCTGGTCTCCAGATAGAAGAGCAATATTGAGAACTATAAGTGACTGCGGAATCTTTTGATTGTGATTGGCTGATTTTCCGCAGGCGTTCTCGCGCCACCGGGAGGTTTCCCAAAGTGGAAATTAATGGATCTCGGCCTCTCGCTTCTTCGATCGCCCGTTCATGTAGAGTTGACCACTGGCATCGACTAAAAGTTAACCCACATTTCCCCGCATAGTGTGTTTTTTGGTGGAACACGCCCCAATCCAATGTACATCTGCATATCCCACAGGGGCTCTCTATTCAGCGCAGCCTTCTCCTTCAAAGTCGCTTGCGCCAAGCATGAGCTTGGCTCCCCGCATGGTGATCTGCATAGCTTAAAAGCTGGGGATTTCCCTTGGTATTCTAGACAAACAGAAATCTTCATTCTTTGCCTATACCCAAGATCAATTGAACTTCTTAGGAAAGAAGATGGGCTTTCCTCCTAGGGTATACCAATTTCTGGTAGGCACATTTGCTGCACTTGGATCATTCCTCTACGGATATGACCTTACAATTGTGGCCGAAGGTAAGCTAGCTACATAGGCAGCATAGAGTGCATCCAATCGTCTACTTGCAGGAACTAACGACAGTGGGTTTGTCTTTCTCAGTGGTATCTAGCGGTTCTTTCTTGAACTATTTCAGCCCGACTACCACAGAGATAGGCCTAGTTGCTTCGCTGCTCACGGCGGGCGCAGTTATCGGGGCAGGGTTGGCGTACCCGTGCTCAGATTACTTTGGCCGCCGAGCAACAATCTTGGCTGGCGGGGTCATCTTCTGCCTGGGAGGTAGTTTACAGACCGGCGCCCGTGACTATGGCTACATCTTGGGAGGCCGTTTCATTGCAGGTGTCTCGTGAGCCGCCTTTCCCAACTCCCCCTCCGGTCGATGGCCTATATCTGGCTTTGGTAGCTAACAACTGATAGCGTCGGTGTCCTCACCATGATCGTTCCAATTTATCAAGCAGAATTAGTTCACCCCAATATTCGAGGCCTGGTCACCGGACTACAACAGTTCATGCTCGGCATTGGTGGCGTCTGTGGAAGTTGGATCAGTTATGGCACCTATGTTAGTTTTGCAGACAATCGCCAATGGCGCATACCGTTAGGCATCCAGATTGTGCCAGCTGCTCTTCTGTCCAGTCTGATTTTCCTTTTTCCAGAATCCCCTCGCTGGCTCATTAGCCAGGGTCAGCTGGAGAAAGGTCTACAGACTCTGGCACGGCTACATGCCAATGGTAACACATCCGATCCGTGGGTTCTCGCTGAGTTTGAGCAAATCAGAGCGCAGGTTGCCGAAGAGAAAGAACATAGTCAGGTCAAATTCTCTCAGTGGGTCACTGATAAGTCAAACTTCCGTCGTCTGCTGTTAGCTTGCGCGATGCAAGCTGCCACACAAATGACCGGAGTCTCCGCAATTCAATATTACTCGGTCACCATCTTTGTAAGCTTTCTTGCCAGAATCCCCTTTCTTCAAATAGCTAACAGTGACTCCAAATTAGAAACAAATTGGCATCGATGGAACGGACACCCTCCGCTACCAAGCGATTAACTCAATCATTGGCCTTATTGGTGAATTTCTCCTCATGATGGTCGTCGATAAGATAGGTCGTCGTAAACTTGTGGTTGGTGGAAACCTGGCCATGTGTCTCACATATGTGATCAGCACAATTCTTCTAGCTCAATTCCCTCCCGAGGTGCACAACACTGGTGCACATTGGGGTTTCATTATCATGACATGGGTTTATAATTTCTGCTTCGCCAGTATGGGATCACTGTGTATGGTTGCCTTCCATCCTCGTTCCCATAATCCGATTCCCCTATTGCATAACTAACTGCTAACTTTTGCTTAGCCTGGATGATCCCTGCCGAGATTTTCGATACGGCAACCCGAGCCAAGGGTGTAGCCTTGGGTTGCATGGTATCATTCGCCTTTAAGTGTGTCTTCCCTTCTATTTTGAATCTCGGAATAGCATGATAAAAACGCTAATTTCAATGGCTTTCTTAGTACAATGATTGGCCAAGTGACACCTATTGGAATGGAAAACTCCGGCTGGAAATTTTACATCCTCTTTGTGGTGAGTACCAATCAAACACCTCTCCTTGCCTCTCTTTTGCCTATCTACTAGTGAGAACTTGAGGGGTCCCTGATCTTCTTCATACAGGTCTGCAATTTCACGAATGCCGTCTTCTTTTGGGCCATGCTTCCGGAGACGAAACAGTTGCCCCTTGAAGAGATGAAAAGTCTCTTTACTGAGAGCCCCTGGTTCATCCCTAACTCCGCGAAAAGCGAGTATCTAGTTAGTGAGACCAGGATTCGGGCGCAACAGATTAAAGATAAGGGATTGGACAGCGGAACTGGCATGACTGAGCACGATGAGGTAACTGCTTGAACAGAGCTAAAAGAGGGGGCTGGTTGTGTCGGTGATGATTGGAACCCGTCCATTCCTGAATAGGAACGATATGCACGGTAGAGAGAGCGTTCAAATTAAGTACTTTGTGGTTCTTACGTAAATAGCGTGCAATACAGCCATGCGAGAATTGCCATCCGACGTAATTCAGATTCGCTTCCTAATTATCCAAAAGTTATCTCATGAGTTTCATATTTTTACGAGCGGCCCCACCTGAAATCTACCTCTCCCGCGTTTATCTGGCCACTAGACCAAAAAGGGAGTCCGTACCCAGTCTAGCGGGTAGTGGCCTAGAGTGACCCGTGAAGCGTAGGGATAAATAAAATCGTCATATTCTTCTTCTTCTCAACATGTAGACGGCGCCTGATTTGGAAAATTCTAGAGTCTGGCTTGGTCTCGTGGGGCAAAAGAAACGTGATGACTTATCTATATTCTTAATAGGTCATGATGTAGTAGAATTGATTTCAAATCAGATGTATTTTTATTACGCTGATCGCTTTGGATGACCAACCATCCAATATACACAAATAAGTATAAACTAACTATTAGAGCAGTAGATAATATATTAGTTATCCGAGGTCGCTCTGTCCTCAGAATAAGTGATCTGTGTCGAACATTGCTGTCATATTCGCTTCTGGTACTCAGCTCAGATAGCCACAACCAGCAGTAAGCATCACGACGCCAAAGCTTGCGATGTGACCGGGAGTGACAGCGTACATGCCATTGCCGGCAGAGCAAGACTTGTCACGCTGGCCTTCGCACTTCACGGTGCTAGCCTCGGTACCAGAGCTGTAGTATTCCTGTGCATGGTTATGGTTGATAAGCGATTGAACATTGATATCTAAAGGGGAATCGGTAGGATAACTCACGGTTCCATAGTGCTTGAAGTTAACAAGCGGGCTCGAGTACATGTTCTGTGTTGTATGGTTAGCTACTTTAATATAGCATGTCAGTTTCAACCATGGCTTACAGGGACACCGTCAAGAACGTTATTTCCGCGGTTGAAGGTACCGGCCTGCGCAGTACCAAAGTCGGCCCACGCTTGGTTGCCGATGGGGAAGGCGTTAAGGGCATTGCTGACAAGTGACTTGTCCGGGAAGTTCTGGGCCAGGGCAACGTGGGCAATGGATGTGAGGGCACCACCGAGGGAATGTCCGACTGCCTCCAGAGTGTAATCAGGGTACTTCGCAATGAGAGCCTTGACTTCAGTAATGATGGTGTCGTGTACAGCGGACCAAGGTCTGTGAACACCTCTCATGATCTTCACATCAGAGGGGAAAGTCACGCCCGAGAGCTCAGGAGTGATGAGAGCAATGTCAATGTCGTTCACGAAGTCGGTGACTGGATTAATTAGCATGTTGAGCTAGTATTAAGAAGTGATTTTGCCATACTGGTAGTCGAGCCCCTCATGATGACCGCGATGGTCTTCTTCTCGGTGGAGTATCCGACGAATCCCTATTGAAATTAGTTATTTGCCAACGTATAGGGCAAATACCACGCCTACATTGGTGTCGGTCACGAGGTCATAAATCCTCTTGGTGATAGTGACATCGAAGGCCTTTCCGATGCAACCTGTGTAGGCAGCGGAAGAAAGCTTTGCTGCACGGTGCAGATCAGGGAAGGCAGCGGCGTCTTGAGAAAATGTTAGAGCTGCCTAGTCGAATGGAGCTGGGCTGATAAATTGACATACCAGCAGTTGCCCTCGACTCCAAAATAGGTGCAGACAGGGCTTGAGAGATCAGAGAGACTCCCACGAGTAAAGATTGGTAGTTGAACAACATATCGAAACAATGTATGAGGGTGTTATAGAATACTCTTGAGGAAGGCTGCTGGACCGTTGTCTTTGGATGCACAAACAGAAAATTGTGTGGGGTTATCTTGCTCTTTAAATAATTCTTCAGGTACCCCTCAAAGTCCCATCGTACTCGTTGTCGCTATATTTGCACACTAAATGCAGGGAAGGTGGCCGAATGTGGCGCCAAGTGGACTGCGTCGGGGATGACATCCCAAACAGGTAATGCATAGTATAGAGTCAGGAAGCCATCATGCAAGGTAATTTACAAATGAACCATTCGGGGAATCTCCGTGGATTTCTCGGTTTACCAGTATGGCGATAACAGCCCCAGCGAGTGCAAGTACTACCTATAGGCTTCAAAGCCTCATTTGATCTTCACACCGTATGGGACCAGGCCGCTGAGACATATGTGCCGAAAGCCATCGTGAACTAATCAAAATTGCTAATAACTACCCGTGAACCACTTTGGCGATGTTTATGTCTTGAAGCACAGAAATGGGGCCGTAGTACGGAGGATTTTCCCATATTAAATTTCGACGGCCTGGCTCACCGTTAACCCGCTCCGTGCAAGACGATTCAATAGCTGTTCAATATCTAATTTAAATATAATAAGCTATAAAATAAGCAAAGATATCATTTAGAGAATTGAGCATAGACTTATACCATACGTGATTTAAGCATTATGAATTCAAAATATGGAACAAGAACGCGTAGTTAGTCGCTTATACAGCCTAGTCAAGCGGCATTTTTTTTGGTACACTTCTCCACGTGCCATGGCTTTTAAAAAAAAAGTGGAGGCAATTCAAAAGACTAGAAAAAGGGACACTAGAAAAGGGGACAGAAGTGGAGGAACAACCACTATGGAGTAAAACGTGAGTATACTATAGCAAGCTCCACTTCATCCACTATATCCATACGCATATGGACTAATTAGGCGAATAAATGAACTAAGGTTTAGAACATAGACATAAGGGATGATCCTTGGGCATGTGATAACATGTGATCGTGGGGGTCTTTACATATTCTGTACACCCCTGCTCCCGCTACGAACCATATTAGTATTATAGAAAGAGTGAGAAAGGTTAGCCGCAAGTTATAAGACATAGGCGGCAAGAAAGACCGTGAAAAGTGTAAATTGGCCTTACGATCTAATGTGCGGTGGATGATGGAAGGATCCATGGAACGCTCGTATTGCAAACCATCCATGGATACTACGGGGCTAAAAGGTTGGACCTGCACTAGCGGTGACAAAAATCGTACTCGTACCGTCGGGTGGAGCAGAAACATGAGCAACCAAAGATGGACTTGGCAAGGCTAGCCCTGAAAACGGCCAGAAAGTGGGCTAGTCGAACAAATATTTGCGGGGAAGCGTGAAATATAGTCATGTGTTTAATTAAAGCGCCTTGGCCTTCCCAACCGGGAATATATTAAAGCTTGAACCTTGATCAGACTCTGATCGACGCCAATTGATAAAGATCGTCACAATCTTCCACCAGAAGTAGTAGTGATCTTGTCGGGCTGTGTTATACGAAACACATGGGATTTTCGTACCCGGGGATCCCGACCTGAAACCGGGCCAGTTATTACCCGCTAACCGGAAACGTTTTTGTCTTAATTTTACTCTTATTTTTGCTTTCGGTGAAGCTTTTATTTCTGGAGCCTGGCCCGCCCTTTTTGAAGTATGAAAATACATAGGTGCTGAAGTGAAGCAATAGTCAGGAACTTAGCTTAGGGTTCGGCAATTGTGGATCGATGTGGTTGGCTTGGATTTGCGGGGTTTTTAAGTCAAAATTAGAAGATGCAGGATGGCAAAGTAAATTAAAATATAAAGTCCTCACTGCAGAAGCGGGGTTCATGTACGTGTTTTAATCAGATAGCCATGATTTGTGTTCCTTGCATACTATACCGTAAACCCTATTTATAACGATACATTATGTTATAACGATACATTATAGACACCAAAACGATATCATTATACCAAGGTAATCGTTCAATCAAAGTGCCATATATTGATGTATAGAAAATTCAAGCACCAGGTTCCGATCATTATAGCGGGAGGGAGGGAGGGAGAGGGGGTTTGCTGTATTACATTCCTGCTGGTGTAAGAGGCACGTGGTTGCTAGAGCTGGGATGGTTACATTCGATTCTGTATCCACTTGGGCAAGAGCCAAGATCCCTGGATGTTTCTAATCAACAAATAATCATCACAAGGTCCCCGGGGCTAAGGTTGGCAATCCCCGATCAACGAGAGCGGACGCCGTAGTCTATTGCGGGTGGGGTATGCTGACTGCAGAATTAGGCACCGGTATACTGCGGACGCGTTGCATGGTATGTACCTACAGATTGTAGTGGGGAACCTTGTCCTCCACTACCACGTATTGGCCTTACCTGCTCTTTCTTTATTGGACGGTTTTATTATTTAATCGTTGAAGTATGGAGAATACAAGTAGCAGATAGATACAGATTGACGACAATACACACTTCTACTTCTACATCTCTGTGGATTCACTTCTTGGCACAGTAAGCCTGGCCTGGCATGAAGTTAATGTGCGAGTGCTGAATCGACTCGTATGCCTCTGAACATCTACCTAGGTAGCCTTGAGCGTTCCCCTCTTCCACATGCCACGGTACATACAAGGTTTATGTGGGGCGGAGGCGGGTGAACTAACGAGTCGAAAGGGCGATACAGCACCCAGGTGATCATAAATCAAAATACGTAGTATGGAGACTCTGTCTCATTGCATTTAGTCTCCGACCCCACCCATAACACTCCAGAATGAGAAACATTGGACATATGCCAAGGTCAGATAGTCTTTTTGTTGCGTGTTTTTAGCCTCTAGTTCGGTAACTTGATACCGGTATTCCATGAATAACGTTAGAATATAGGCAGACAAGCCAAGGAAAGGATTGTCGGGCGACCGACGGAGTTCCAAGGCTGATGCTGCGATGACAAGGCCAATCGCATAGCGCACGGATATCGGAAGATCCATGGATCACCTGGTCAGGAACTTCGGGGGGGCTTGGCAACTTCTTGGAACCTTGGAACAGTGGAAAGGGCCCCAGCCTAGTCCTATTTAGATAAAGTAGCCATAGGTATTAATCTCTCCGGGTCATCTTCGGGCACAGTCTGTTCGAGAGAGGTAGGGCATATGTTCTGGAAGGTTGCGGGTAGCCCTGTATACTCCGT